CTGCCTCTACGGGGCAGCTATATCCCCCAGATCCAAACGGATCGGGGGAACCTTGGCAGTGAACGCAGCAGGGATCGCGCGGTGTCGCGAATCCCAGCCGCCGCCGAAACCTTGCAAACCGGAAGTCGGAACCTGATACGGACTTTTTGTTGAAAGAACAAAACAGTGAGTTGATTTCTGGACTGAGGGATTAAGAAGATGGGGAAAAGAATAAGATAGAAAGAGGAGTGGAAGGCATAACTATAAATTTTCTTATTTCATTTCATCTTTCCTTTTTGTATCTCTGTGTTTTGTTTTGTATATTTTTACTATATTGAAAACTCTCTCTCTCTCCCTCTCTCCCTCCATATATGGGGGGGGGGGGCAGATAAAGCTATGGAATGTACCTAACCAACTGCAGTGAAGAAATGGATTTTTTTGTCTGAAAGGATCTTGAACTGTTGCATGCATGAGGAAGACAGGAAAAGCAACTTTATCAGATAAACAGGAGACTGACGCAGCCCTTCAGTTTCAAGTATGTTTGACTGGCTCCTTTAGAAAAAAAAGGTGTCCCATCAAAGTTCTTTAGCTTAGCAGATAGCAATGTTGAGACACTTATTGCTATTTTGCACATGGCTCCATTCTTGCTTACCAAATCTCCACCCTGGCATTCTTGCCATTTTTCAGAAGCATCTTGTTAAACTCTTGGAAGAAATTAAACAAATTACTGGATTAATGTCAGTAGAGCACCAGCTCTTACATTCTAATCAGGAGCAAGAAGGAATATCCTGTAAATACATTGTCCTGCCTCGTTTTTTGTTTAAATTGCAGAAGAAGTTATGTATGGCAGACTCTTCAGTGCAATTAGTCTGAAGTGCATATTTTAGCAGATCTAAAGAGAACTCTTTTTTTAAAAAAAAAAACCAAGGGTGGGGGGGAATTGAAGTCTGCTGTTAATTTTTAAGAATGTGGGCAGCATAGACTTACAATTTGGGGTACTATTAAAATGCAAAAAATAGAATAGGAAAGTCATAGTCAGCTCCATTTTTAAATGTGGAATAAACTCATTGGGATGCAATCCAGATTAACAAATTTCCTAAAGTTTACTGAGATGAATGATGTGGCAGAAGTTATTCTGTTTCCCAGAATTTTATGGAGGGTATCCATGGGCATGATGTAACATCTGCAGAACATGTCTCTAATAATAAGACTTAGAAAGACCCATTCCAGAAGTGCACTGTATCAAGAGTCATCAAATCTAATTTATATGGATGAAACCCTTAAAAGTTGTCACAAGCTGGACCTGGTGAAGTTACAATTCTCTCACTGGGATGAGTAGAAAGAAAAACAGAAAAAAAAAATGTGAAAAGGAAGCTCTGAGTCCCCAATTTCAGTTGTATGAAAAAATGGTAGGAATTGGACTTCATCATCAAATTTCTCATCAAACCTCCTGTTAAGGATTGGAATGAAACTTTGGCAACCTTTTGTCACATTGAAATACATTGAATTTCAATGTTTAATAGCCAACTGCTGTTGATTTCAACAGCACTTAAGCAGGCCTAGTATTTTGGATTCAAAATACAAAAATGAGCGCCCTTTGTGGAAATCCTTGCTCCCACTTTCACAAAAAGATAAAAGACTTATTTCAGCCAATAACAGTTCTAACCTTGGACTCTAATAATGCAAATGAAAGAAATGCCGAAGCTTTGCCCAGCAACCTTTTTTCAACGAGGATAAATGTGGTTTTAAAATAAAATCAGCAGTCTCGCTACAGCAGCAAAAGGAAGCCAGTTCAGAGTTTTGCCAATGAATTCCAGGATTTTAACATTTAGAACAAGGACTTTGATCTGGTTTTTTTTTTTTAAAAAAAAACACCACCTTCTGCTTTTTTAATATACTCCTTGGCAACATGAAAGAGAATTGGCTGCAAAAAAGAAAAAGTCTGAGCAGAGTTTGCATTCTAAAATGCTCCAGGCCAGCATCCAAACAGAAGACTGCTGGACGCATAGGGACCTCTGCTGATATTTCTCAGCACTATCCACATACAGTAGATGTGTCATTATTTAAAATTAATTAGCCCCAGAGGCTACAATAGTATATTGTAGCCATTTTAACAACTGTAACTAGCAATGAAAGCTTTTCCATTTATTCTGTTGTGACAGCGTAGCTTATTGTGTTTAGTTTTAATATGTTAAAACATTTTACTTGCTGAAAAGCATGTTCTGCAAAACTCAAGACTGGATCTCTTAAGAAATATTTGATCTGGACAATAAAAATACTGCTGCAGTACAGACTTGGGAGGTCAGAGTCATCGTTAGGAAGAGATATTTAGGAATTGGGTGTTTTAACTTTGGGAAGTCAGGGAGGATATGAATCCATTCTTTAAACATCTAAGGATTATCCGACATAGGAGGGCCGTGACATGAAATAATGTTCAAGAATGAAATTCCATAGCAGCTTTTTTCCTAGTGATGAAATCAATTGCCTGTGGAAACAGTAGCAGGCACTCTGTTGTGGTTAGCCGGCAGCAGGTGCAGATGGCGGAGATGACTCTGATGAGGGGCCAGGACCACCAGGGGGTGGACTGCTGTCTTGAGGGATTGTGGGGGCTGGCAGCAGTGGCGAGGAGGTTCCTGAGGAGCCTGTGCCAAGTGCGCGTGAGCGCAGGATGATTCGTAGAAGAGAGCAGCTGGAGCAGCACAGACGACTCGAGAGTAAGGATGCAATGTAATGGCCCCTCCCTCCAGGGAATATAAGCCTGGTTTCAAAAGGTTTTTGCTTTTGCAGAAAACAAAAACATTCGAAGAACACAGCATTGTGTGCAGAGACTCCGGCTTATCTGAAGAATTCTGTCAAGGCTTTTCTAGTTGGACTAATTGGCTGCAAGGCATCTTTTATCTACAAAGTTTATTTATAGATTAAAGCTGTGAAGGTTTGAGTTACTGAGTTTGAGATTTTCTTGCTGGTATCAGGGTCGGGTCAGAACACACTGTGACAGAACCTGGTCAGCCATGTATCATCACGAAGTTAGACTCAAAGGGTGACTCCATAATACTAAGCATTTTACCGGCTAGCCCCAACTATTACAGTAAAAAGGCATTTCAGGGGGGGTTTTTTGGAAGGAGTTATAGGTTTCTGGTGGGATAAATGTATACTCAAGAAGATGGATATACCAATTGCCTTTTCTTATTGTTTCTTAGTTTGTTTTAATGCCAATTTCTTTTGTGATATGGAATATTAAAGGAGACACATGCTGAAGAATAATCTGTGGTTGCAAATAGCTTGGATAGAGAAGGCATTTGCAGGCAGTAGATCTGAATGCACAAATGCACTGAAATTTTAATTATGGTAGCATTTTCAAGCTGAGGGGTAAAATGTCCAATTAAGTTACTTTTAAAGAAATATTGTTATATTAAAAGGTCAATGATTAGTGCTATCACATTTATAAATGTTCAACTAGTTTGTATCACTGTATTTTTGCAAGTTTGTATAGTACCTCAGTGGATCACGAATTAGGTCTAAATCAAATTATAGAGCCTGTCTTCACATTGTAAACCTAGTAATGTATGCATGCAATTAATCTTCCAGATAAATAGCAGAGTTGGAAGGGACCTTGGAGGTCTTCTAGTCCAACCTCCTGCTTAGGCAGGAAACCCTATACCATTTCAGACAAATGTTTATCCAATCTCTTGATTCCGTCTTCATGGCAGCCCTTGAGCTATTGGAACACTGCTAGCCCTTCTTTTCATTGTACCCAATTCCAGCAACCATTCTTTATGTTTTAGCTTCCAGTCCCCTTATCATCTTTGTTGCACTTCTCTGCACTCTAAGAGTCTCAACATCTAGAAGTGCAAATAGCATTTTATTAAAACTTTCTCAAGATTACTGGGTTTTTTCCACATCTAAAAATAATATTTAAATTATTTCCTGCTACTTGTCTAATATATAAATTAAGGCTGCAATACTACAACTATTCTAGAATAGCTATTCCAGCTCTTGTGAAGTTAATAATCTCAATTTTACAATAATTTGTATACAAATTAGGATAATTTACATCAGGAGTGTCAAACTCATATCATCACAGTGGCGTCACGTGACTTGCCCCCCCCCCGCTAAACCGGGCAGGGGCAAGGGCAGCAGTGACACATCCGGCCCACAGGTCGTGTGTTTGACACCCCTGATTTACATATAATTTTCAATGGTCTTCGAATGTATTTTTTTGAATGGTTCTGATTTTAAGCAGAAGATGGTAGAATTTTTACATACTAATTGGGACAGTTTTCTCCTATTTTGATTTGGAATAAAACAAAAACGTTTATTAAATGCCATTTTATTCATATACTTCACATTAAAATGTAGAAGTGATTAGTTAAGATGCAATCTCTAAAGGATTAAATTAGTGAGTTAAATCTTTTTACATCCCATGACTGAGAAAAGGAAGTAGAGTCACAGGCTTTCAGACATGAAGTATTATACTGAATAGTTGTGGTGCTGATTGGAAAGTACAGATTCTAGATCAATCAGCACTTAAGTTTTATTCCAAATTGTATTGTTCCTGGGAATCCTTAAGGTAGAGAAAATACATTCAAAGATGTTACCTAAACATCTGCAAGCGATCAACCAAGTTCAGAGAGCACCAAGAACTCTACAGCCAAATGAACTATATGAAATCCCCTACAGTGCAAATCTCATTCCGTGGTGATGCTGAGACAATCAAATGATCCATGCGGACACTGCTTAATTAAGATGATGTGCCAAACAATTATGTGCCATCCAGTCGATGTCTACTCTTAGTGACGATATAGATTTCCTCCATGTATATCTGTCCTTAACTTGGTCTTTCAAGTTAACTTTGCCAATTAAAATTCTTCTATTCTGCTGTCTACTGGGCTTTTTTCTTAATCCATGTCTAATTCAGCTAAGCTTACTGTAAACGATTTAACAGTATGGCAAACCATAACTGATTCTAAAAACAATTATTTTCCTTAACTGTGCAGTTTACTATAATATATACTCAGTAGTATTTATAACTGGACAGAATTTAATATGGTAAAAAGAGGCTTGAGGCATTAAATGCCATGCAACCAAGACTGTTTAATAAATGTGCTTGTTGTTTTCCCAGAAATTACAAACTTTGCATATTGAAGTTCAGGTATTTAATGATGATGAGATATATGAAAGCTTTCAATGATAACCTCTGAATTACTAAACTTAATGATATTAGGAAAAATCACAATATGACCTTATTTGGCTTCAGGACAAGTTTAGATACAATGACTACCTTCATAATAAAGTAATTTATAAAATTTCTTTTGAACATTCTAAGCAACATGTTTTATTAAGTTAAGCACATGCTAAAAGATTTATTGATAGTTAATTGTGCTCGAGAAACAAGTTAGCCCGATCTCTGAGAAAAAAATGAAAAACACCTTAGTTTTCTCCCATCTACACTTTGCAAACAAGAGCTGAAGCTCTATTCAAAATTGTTTATTTTCCAGGTCTGCATCAATTTTATAGTTGGAGGAAAAACGTTCAGATGGTAATACTATGCAATTTTATAAAAGGACATTATAGTTATCGCCCATTGTTATCTTCTGTAATAGACAAGACCCTAGCAGTCTTACACACGCACATAAGGAAAAAAATCTTACTGTTGTTCCTCAAAATTGAGTTGATACCTTATTGGATATTCACTATCTAATAAAACAGCTACCAGTGATGTTTTAAGCAGGGGCAGAGACCTGTGGAATGTTGTTTAAGGGCTCAAAAACAGAAAAAGCTGAATTGACAAAAGATCTGAAAGATCTCACGTAAAGCATTTCTACCCTGTCTCTATATAATTCAATAGCTATCTCTGCCTTGCTAACTAATCTGTAGTTCATAACATTAAAAATCTATTCATATAATTCTTGTTTTGAAAGAATTAACTTTCAGCCTAAAAGCCAATTTTTTCCAACTCCAAATATGGCCAAAGAAGCATTTTGAAAGATTGGTCCTTCTTTATGGATATTCCTTCATCAAACACCGTTTGCTCTAATTGAAAACAAATAACTGAGAAATATAAGCGTTTCTGATTTTAGCCTCAAGCAGCTTCAAGTCATCCATTTTCATTAATGCTGTCTCCCAAAAGACTGCACAGTATGTGATAGGAAAAGTTTCAATATAACACCCAATGTGTACATAGTTAACAAGAACCTTTAGTAAATTTATAGGAAACAAAAAATATATGCAGGACAACAGCAGCTTTAAAGAACTCAAATTATATTATCAACTGGAAAAAATATCCAGAAACTTTTATTGATGTAATAAATGTGTTAACTCATCCTTCCAAATTTTCAATAAGAAAGCAATGACATCACTCTGAAGTAAGCATAACACGATTACAAGATGGTTTAGATTTCCTTGGTCATAAGAATTTTTATGCAACCAGAGCAGAAGCCGTAGACGATTCGCTGCAGAAGAAGACAAGAACAATTTAGTAACTTCATCAAAACGAGGTTGTATGGCATCGACAAGATTACATGTAAACTTATCAGCCACAGCAGCTCACTCAGACATCCAAGGAAGGACTAGCCAACACAAAGGAAAAACCTTTCTGGTGGAAACTGCAAATGGTTGGACAACTGTCATCATAGTGAGCAACCTGAAACTGGACTTGAGTGTAAAACGACTGAAGCAAAGCTCAGTAGCCATACTAACAGGGTTAATACTTATATCATTTAGAGAGCACTGTAAAGCACAATGAAGCGGTATAAAAGTCCAAGTGCTATTGCTTAATTTCCTCCCAATATTTATCTGCTATACTGCTTTCCAAAACTCAGATAAGCAGCAACTTTTGAACAGGTATAATCTGAATGTACCTTAATACACCACAAAAGTATTCATTATAATCAATAAACTTACATACCAAATAGTTTGGAACTATTTCAGAAAAGCTGCTGCTGCTGCTGCACCTACGTTCCAAAAATTGCCCAAAATAGTACTATTCCTTACATGAATGCTATTTCTTTCTATAACATTAAGTGGAAGAACAGAAAATTGCTGCCAAACATTAAACAACATGGCAATATTGTGACTGGGAGCAAAATATACTTACTACTTCCAATTAGGTGGGAGTACTCTCTTGGTCTTGTAGTAACGAGCCAACCTGTGAATTCTGCTCTCAATCAAAATAAGTCGGAATTTGGCATCTTTATCCTTCCAACAAAAGCAAATAATTTTCAAATACTGTTTTGGGAGACAGCCTAGGAAAAATCTGTTTGTATTTTCTTTGAATAACAATGTAGTTCTCGTAAGATCTAGTGAAAATATAGTTTCAATGGTGCCTATTCCACTAGCACCAGGATCTTAGATATAAACCAGTATTTAATTTAATGTAAAGGCACTACCTCTTCAAAAGCAAATACTGTTCTAGAATAACTGTAGGTGCCATTTTAAAATCTTGAGGATGGAATATATTCTGCTACTTTACCTTGCGGTTCCTCTCAAGATGCTTGCGGACAGCAACTGCTTTCTTGATTAAGTGGTAAAGATCTTCTGGGAGATCAGGGGCAAGTCCCTTGGATTTAAGAATCCTCAGAATTTTGTTACCAGTCACAAAACGAACTTGGGCAACCCCGTGCGAGTCCCTTAATATTACACCTGAAATCGAATGAAGCATTTTTGGAAGTATTGTCATTTTAAAGTACCACAAGTCTAAAGTACCACAAGTTTAAACATATTAATTCATTTGGACATTCAAGAAACATTAACTATCACAAAGGAAAGACTTCTATAGGTCTTGAAAAAGACAATTTACAGCTTGAATAATGTCAAGTAAAAGCTACAATTTTAGCTATAGCAATGATATTTGAGGCATTAAATAAACTATCAATTCAGTAATACCTTAAATAAAAGCTAGGTTCTAAGATTTCAATTATATTAATCATCAGAACTTGACTGAAGAAAAATATCTTAACTGGATGGAGTACCATTTGGTAAATTTTCAAATACTTCAAATTAGCAATAACCAAGGTAAGTTACTCAAGATGAAAACCAAATCAATAACATGGATTATTTGGCTGGCTGGCTGCCTGACTCCCAAATTACTCTAAGTCAGAGGTCCGCGGGCTGTGGCCTATTTGGAATTGGGGTGCACGAGTGGCTCGCCGAAGCACATGTGTGAAGCTCAACTGGCACGAGTGGTGGGTACTCGCGGGTACTGTCCTACTGCTTACACAGCCCAGTTTCTTCCTCTCCCCCCAGCCAAGCCGCCAAGCTTCAAAGGTGAGACCGCAGCTCTAAGTGGCTCATAACTAAGAACCAATGTACATTTTATTTCAACATACCAATTTGGGAAGGTGTCAAGCCTTTCTTTGCCAACTTGTAAATCTGCTCTTTGACATCATCGGAAGTAAGTTTCAGCCACTAAAAAAAGTTTAATTGTTAGCCATTCTAGTTCAGATACATTGGATAGCAAATTGACCCAATCATCCCAACACAAAACATAATAATTCTGCAATTTCAAATTGCAAAAATAACAAAGGTAAAACTTAAAAGCTCTCAGTAAAGAGAAAAGTACTAAAGTACCCCTTGCTACATCCTCACATAGAATTGTAGTTGCTGAAAGAAAAATAAAAGCAGGATGCTTTCAAATTACATAGCTTTTTATTTCATTCAATTTCTTGATACTATGGTTTTTAGAAGTAGTAGACTTAACTCTGAAAATATACAGAAGAGTAGAATTTTCACAGCACTTTAATGAAACTGCAACGCTATTTAGTAATCTGGTCAGCTAAATTATTTTCTCCCAATTAATGCTTCTGATTGTAACTAAGCTAAACTGCATGTTTGACACATGTAAATATATCATGAGTTAAAACTACAAAAAGAAAGTTGTAGCTCAATTATTTCCATACACTAGCAAAACTACTTAGAGTAACTAGTTTTTTTTTTTTTAATTTTCTCATGAATATAATTGTCTTGGAGCTTGGAACTGCCTGAGCGGTTTTTATGTTAACTATTATCCCAAATGTTGAAGTATTAAGATTGTCAGCAATCCTTCAAAATGTAGCACGCAAACAAATCACTTTGAGATGGTCAATATTTATTTTCTCGTTTTCAATGCTAAAGTCTTTAACACTTGAAAGCTTTTTTTTTTTACTCAAGACATAAGTTTTAAGAAATAGGTAAGATCTATATCAAGATGCTTTCCAAATTAACTGATCGAGATTGGTATTTTATTTCTTAACTGTTAAATCAAAACAGCACTGTAGGAAAGAAATTTAAAATAACAATGTGGGATATTTACAAATAAGTTGCATCCTTCACTTTGCAAAGTCCCAAGCAGGATGAATAACTGAGGCCAGTACTTACCGTAGGTACGCTTCTCCTGTAAGGCAAGGCGGACTGGGACAAGCCCTTTCTATTGAAAGAGAAGTCAAAGAGAGCATATTTTAGAAAAATGTGACAAACTTTAACAGTTTGCTACAGGATACTAACCAGCTTGATACTAACCAGGATACTAACCAGCTTGATACGGTAATAATCTAGGGTTGCCGGCACGTAAGTCATTACCAGCCCTGTCGGTGAATCTAAGAAGCCAAACTTTCAGCACTGCAACAGCTGCATAGCTTCTGATTTTGCCCGACCGAGAAAATAAAATAAAATATTGCACGAGTATAGGGAATCCACGAGGCGCTGCCGCCTCCAAGGTTCACACTTATTTCTCCATCTCCTACCAGCAGCGCCTCCCGCCTTTTGTTCCTCAAGAGATGTCCCGGGTGTTTCATTGAAAGCAAGGCACGAGAGAGAGAGAGAGCGAGAGTGCGCTAAACTGCGGCCCGACAACCCGCCTCCCGTCTGCGACTCCACTGGGTGACCACTGAGGAAAGCGCCGGTCCCCGCGGTTGTCAACCGAAGTCGGCCTCTAAGCAAAGGCCGCTTCCCTCCCCCCCCCCCCTCACGCCCCCCCCGCAACAAAAGAGGCGAAGCTCCTGAAATAGGTCGCAAAACTACGAGCGGAGGAAATGACGGCCGTTCCCGCAAGCCCTCCTCGGATCCTCCCGCCAAGGCCTTTGGTCTCGGCCAACTCACCCGGGTGCGTGCATGCGACCCATGATGGCGCCGAAAAGAAAGAAGCGAGGAAAGCAGCCTTCGCCGTCTTTCTTTCCGCCGGAAGTGACATCGCAGGCAGAAAGGAAAAGGCTTCCGGTCTCGCGTGCGGCTATATTCAGAGCGGATCTTCCGCCGGTTGATGAACTACATCTCCCAGCATTCCTTTCTTTCGTCTTCGTTGAGGGAGCTAGGTGGGACGCGGTTCCAACTCGGATTCATTTGTAGGAATGGACCGACGTGGAGAGGTGTAATGTGTGTGTGTGTCTGAGCGGCAAATTACACCAAATAAGTCTGATTAAATAAATAAAATCCCACTTGTGCTGCTATCCAAAATGCGCTTGGACAGTTTCAGTCAGTGCACTTAAGAAAAAGCTCATCAGGCGCCACCTACCATCCAGGCTAATTGTCACATATTAACCATACAGGTAGTCCTCGACTTACGACTGTCCATTTAGTGACTGTTCAAAGTTAAAACAGCACTGAAAAAAGTGACTTATGACCATTTTTCACATGCCCATTGCAGCATCCCCATGGTCATCAAAATTCAGATGCTTGGCAACTGACTCCTTATTTATGAAGGTTGCAGTGTCCTGAGATTCTGTGATCATCTTGCGACCATCTGACCAGCAAAGTCGATGGGGAATAGAAATTCACTTAACCACTGTTACTAACTTAACAAATGCAATGATTCACTTAACGGTGGCAAGAAATCATAAAATGGAGCAAACTCACTTAACAAATGTTTCATTTAGCAACATATTGGGCTCAATTATGGTCGTAACTCAAGGACTACCTATATCCTAAGATTGGATCTTCAGAAATCTATAATCTTGAAAAGATTCTCAATTTTACTATTTTCCATGGCACAGTTGGCCATTCCCACCCTAAAATACTGTATATCATAACTGATATCATTTTAAAGGATGTGATGTAAGCTAGGATCAAATATTCCAACAAGTCCTTTAGGTGTACTGTAAGGTGTACTTTCCACCAGGAGTGGAAAGAAGTGTGAGAAACTTTTTAATTGTTCATTACTACAGTAAATACATTGTTCCCAAAGTTTACGTTGTATTTTTTTCATTGTACATTTGTATTCATTTTGGTGTTTGGAGATTCTGTACATGAAGATTATACTATAGGGAGGTGTAATGGCAAAAAGATTAGGAACCTGTGGTCTGTGGGGGGGATGTATGATGGGTGCTCCCCCAAATGGCTGTAATGAAGGAACAGCAGTCATGGCATTTCAACCCAATGGCACACCAGTTAGGCTACTGTGTCATCTTCTCTAGCATTGAAGAATGCTGCCCAGCCTTCTTGTAATTTACCTTTCTCTACATAGACAGAAAAAAACTCAAACAAATAATGCACTGGAGCAACTCTATTTTTATTTTTAAAGGAAATTTAAAAGGGCTGCAAGAGTTATTGGAAATAAAGATAGTATAGTAGGGTGGCTTATTTTCCTTTATCTTTCCTTTTAGTGTTTCTTACGTGAAAATATTAAAGGTAGAAAACCACATTGGACAGTCAGCTATTGGCAGTATTTCTTGAAATGATTTTTTCTTATCCAAGTACATGAGATTTCAACTTAGAATATATGCTGTATTCTGGAATAGTGCTAGGATTAACAGGCCTACAGATCAGAGATTTAGGTGTAAGTAAAAAAGGCAATTAAAGATATAGTTAATATTTGAAGCAACTTTTTTTAAAATGCTCAGTGGAATAGATTTGACTGAAACTTTTGCACTTTAGTTTCTTGATTCACAGTGAATTTGGAAAAAAAGAGGCACAATGTTTTTTTTTAATTAAATAGTATTTAATGTAATTTAGCCCAAATATTTTGGGTTTAGACTTAGATAGAAATAATGTACATCTTTATTAGCTCTCACTGTAATATAGCTGAAGTATTTGGTTCTTATAAGAGAAAGAGACAATTGAAGGCAAACATCCATATTTACTTCTAATGCATTTTATTATTTATAAACCTTTGCCAAATTGTTAATCACAGTACTAAGAATACCACACAGGGAATATTAAATTCCTATAGATTGTGAGAATGGTGTAATTTTTTTCCACATGTGGAAGCTTTAAACTTTAGCCCACTGATAAAGGATACCTATTAAATCCATATTACACAGTGAACAATATTTTGCAGATTTTAGAAATATTTCTTCAGTTTAAAAGCTAATTGTATCCTGGAAAAAGCAATCAAATTTAAGGCAAGATAGTAACATTTCTGGATCATTTTAAAAATAGAGAAATACCAGAGATCTCCCATGCTTTTTATATATATGTATAGGTCATAAAAAGGCAGTATAAAAATTTTCAGTGCAAAGTCATGACTAATTTAGTACAGAAAATACGGGGGTTACTTTTCTTATAGCAAGATGTTTTCCTCAAAATGTTGAAGTAAATGTACAAACACAAATTGACTTCTAGCTGTAGTCCACATTTGGTGCATAGAATTTAATTTCATTCACAAAGTATAAAAATGCCATGAGACCACACTTTAAAAACATTGATTAGTAAAGTGTTACATCTGGTTATGATTATTCCCTCTTACCCTTTCCGTATGTCAGTTTAAATATCTGAATTATTTTTTAAAAAATGGAAGAGTGTCGTGTATCACGCAAATATAAATAATTTGAAAGAGATGCAAAATTAATGCTGCTCCTTTACATGTTTAATGATAACTGAAAAACACTTTCATAAGAATGTACCTGAAGAACTTTATCTATTGTGGAGTTATTTTGAGAAATAGTGATGGTGGGCAAAGGCACAGGATGCACTAGTGGCAAATATTACCATAAGGTGCAGCATATATTCTAACCAACATCCAGACAAGAACTGCAGCTGCAAACCACCGTCATTAAAGGTTTTCCTTTAAATCTCTAGATTTGTGCTGTGATACACTGTGCTATAGTTAGACTGCAAAAAAGCAGTATATATTGCTTTACAGTTAATCTAATGCAACGTTTCACAAAAACAGTAGCCTACTTCCCTGTGTTTATATGACTTGTGGTTTTGTTGATGGAATGGAATACATCTCAAAAAGCATCAAGTGAGCAGGAAATACAATCTAATTAGTTTATAGCTTACAACTTACATATTTAACATATTATAACTAATAAACTCTTCTAAAAATGTTAAGCATCTTCTATTAATCACAATGCAGTTTTAACACCGAAGAATCCCAAATTTTATTTTAGTCAATTATGCACATTTCAGCACCTTAGGTTAATGACTATTTAATATCATACTTTTGTTTAATTGCCTCCAATAGATTGTCACACAGTCTATCGTATAATTCATCGTGCTATTTTTTTTAAATTTAGCAGTCTGTATCTTTATTCTAAACTATTTGGGTTTCAACATTAACCATTTTGTGGAATGTTAATAAAATTCCTACAACAGCTTTTAAAAAAAATATTGGGATTAGTAAATTACAATTATACCCAGCCTTTTCCAATCGTTACAAATTAGGGGGATACAAATTAAAGAAATGAATTTAAAACACAATCAACCATACTTCATACACAGCATCTTTTATTAACTTTACTAATGGCAAATCAATTTTCATTGAAATAAAATGCTTTGTGGATTACTACTCCCTTACTACTCATGAAAAAAAAATCTAAATGTTATCTTTAATGGTCACTGTGTCAACTTCAGTCTCCCATAGCTAGTGCATAAAATACTTGGCCTTTTGCTATAGTATGCATATTTTTAATTCAGATGATATTAATAGAAATTGTACTTTGTGGGACTCCTACTTTGTAATCTGAAATCACCGCTGTATAGCCCATATATCTACCTAAAAGAAATGCAGTGCTTTATAGAAAACTATGGTGTAAAATCAATTGCATCTGTATTCATACAGTACTTGTAGTTCATAAACCTGGTAAGATTTTTTTTAATGAATCTGATCTAATCTGGTCCTAAATTGAAAGGGAAACTGTTAAAGAATTTATATAGTGAACTACATAAGCATTTTTTTAGCAAGTTTAACTTTTAGCACTGAAAAATGTTTTGAATATTAGAAATAAGGTATAAGTAACAAAATAAGGCACCATTATTTATAATTTAATTTCAATTATTGGCACTATTCTAATAATGGCCTCTAAGAAGCTTTATGAGTCATAAGGCTAAATGCTACACTGAATTTCTATCCTTCTATTTACGTCTCCCTTTTAATTACCTGAAAAATAATTTTGTCATGATCATATTTTCAAACTGTGCTGCTCTATGTGCTGAGAGCAGAATTATAAAACTTTATAATTACAAAGAGCAGAATTATAAAGTTTGCAGTATATCAAAAGGCAAACAATTTAAATGGGATTGAAATGAATTCAGGATAACCCCCTCATATTGAATTTGAAACATTTCTTCATATTCAAAACTGCTTTTATAACAAGTATTACATTTATACAATTCATATACATCAATGCTTAGATATTATTGCAGTTAAAGCATAAAGCAGATGACTTGCCAGAAGTCTTGTATAAAGTTTTGCTAAGGCTGGTCCAACTATAATCCACCAAATCGCAGTGTTTCAAGCTAAAGTGTATGGATTATCTTCAAGTAGAGAAAAGTGATCATATACAAATGGAGTTAAGATTACTTAGTTCGTATCTTCAGCTCTGCAAGTTGTCAGGTTCATAAGTATGGTGCAGCAGCAAGCCTGTACCAGTTCACAGTCTCCTTGCTTAAGTTAAAATCCTTTAAAGAAAGAGTGATACCACCCAGGAAAAAGTTTTCACGCAGAGATTCAGCACTGAGTACACTTAGCTGAAGTTCCCTTTGCTTGAGTGTGTCTTTGCTATATCCACTGTACACAAGCTATTTAAAAAAAAACAAACACTAATTCAGAAGCAGTACAAGGCAAGGCAAGATATCAGTGAAGTTTAGAAAAAGGATAGGGTTTAGCGATAGCAATCCCAACAATCCCCATTGCCAGCATTAACCAAATCCACTCCAATTCAAGCTATTCCGGCTTGGTCCCTCCCAACCCAGAGCCCTTGGTAAAGTGAGGGGATGCCTCTTCTTGAACTGCCCAACCCACCTATTTTATTCCCACATGCCACTACTGTACTGGCCTACTTGTGCTACCTTGTTTAAAAAATGGAAACCATGTCAAAGAAGACACTAGCTGCCCTGGCATGAAAGAAGGATCCTTCCAGCCAGAGCCTTTTTTCACGAAAGAAGGCCCTGGATGGTGCACCAACAGAAACCTTAGCAAGCACTAGCACAAAAGAAGGCACACAAAGAAGCCCCTGACTGGTACTGTAGTGGCACGTGGTGTGGAGGACATGGTGGGCAGCAGGGGTAGATGATAGGAGTTGGGTAGGCAGTCAGCCAAAAGGTGGTCATAAACATGGATGAGCCCTAGTGTGCCCAAATTTTGTTCACCTGGTTGTGGGGGCACTGCAATGGCCAGAACTTCAAGGATCAGTCATAAGTCCCTTCGTTTAGCACCATTGTAATTTCAGTCGCTGAATGGCTGGGTATTAAATGAAGACTACCTGTATTCCTATTATTTATTTATCCCTCAATGGATGGTTTCTACATTATGTTTTGCTTTGAAAAACTACCCAACTATTTCAACTTACCATTTCATTGAATGTTGGATTTCTAGTTTTCCGTGATATTTTGGTTTTCCGTTTAGAGGTTTTATGCATGTCTGGAAGCAAATACGTCTTTACATAAGGGTTAGGATCTGCACCATCATCAGTAACCTAACAAAAAGAGCACCCATTAAAAAAAACTAAAAACAAGGACAATCATATTTAAAGAGAGCAAAGGGAGTGCTTAATGTCTACATTTAATTACATGTCATCAGGTCTTAACAATCACATAGACAAGATTTCTTCAAGATGACTGCAAGAATTTATAATTCCTTTTTAAAAAAAGGATAAAAGTTCCAAATCACTTAGGTCCCAACTTTTTACCAGATGTTTTAAATATGGTAATAATGCTTATAGGACAATTATATCTTAATTTTATAATGGCACGGGATTAGGTTACTTGGGGGACTGCCTCTCCCTGAGAGTACTGCTTATCTAGATCAAATTCGGGGTCTCTGAAATAATGCTATCTAGTAGGACTTAGGAAGTATGTCTCTTCTGTGGCTGCTGATACCTTATGGAACACCTTGCCCGCGGCAATTTGGTAGGTCCTCACCTTCTTAGCCATCTGGAAGGCCATGACAACCTGACTTTTTTTTTTTTAACAAATTTTATTCAGTTTTTCACATTAAAAACAAAAATCTCTTTTTAGTGGACAACATATTTCCGGGTCATCACCTTTACATACGAATATGACAGCAATTATACATTCATATATGCATACTTAATTCTATTATTACCTTTTCCATTTGACAACCTGACTTTTTACCAGGCACTGGAATAGTGTGGTGGAGCCTATGTAGAGTTATTGGAGTACCCTGATCAGTTGACTGGGGCATCAGAGTTTTAGTTTTAGTTGCATGCTTTTTTTAGAGTTTTATTGATGTGAAATGCCCAGAATGGCTTTACAAATCTTTTAAATAAACAATAAATATAAACAAACAGTATTATTATTTATTGCTTTGGGGCTGCATGTTGATTCACTTCTCCAAAGTTGTATCAATTGTTATTTTTAATATGAAAGAAGGAAGAAAGTGTTAAATATCTGACTGGGGAATAACAATATTAATTATATTTAATTTTAATGAAATAGAAGTAATGGTTTTGCTATATTTAATTTTTGATTTTATTATTCAATTGCCTCACTATTTTGTGGAATATAGTCCTTATATTACTTGAGCCTGATTTTCTCAGCCCCAAGAAAGATATGCATCTTGGTTTTGGAAAACAATTTAAACAATTCATAAATGAAGCATATTATAATTATTTAAATGTAAACACATTCATATACTTACCAGATCTTTAATGTGCATCACCATGATAAACAGAGTCTTGTTTCTATAGGAGATGGACAACTTAACTTTTCCTCCCACTTTGCCTGAGGTAGGACTTGAAGGGCCTACATCTAAAAACAAACATCTCATTTTGACTTTGGACCAGTCGCTCTCAATCATTACACCTTATGTAGTAATAATAATTTTTCTGGAAATTGCCAAACTGCCCCAGAATGTGATCGTCTGAGAGAATGTTCAAAATGTAGCCAAGGGAAACGGATGTCCCAGGTTCTCCAGAATGTTCCATTCCTACTTCTAATGACTGAACACAACTTGCACTGTATATCTTTATGTTTTGTGGAAACTCCACATGGCAGAGGCTTCAGAATTTACTGAAATAATTGTGCTATTTAGGATACTAATTAAACTGTACAACTATAATATTTACCTGTACATCTAGTTATTCCATCAATTCCTTCAGCTTTTTCATCACGAGGTAAGGGATGGAAGAAAGTATAAACGAGATCACACTAGGTTGGGAAAGATAAAATTTCGATAAGAACTATTTGTCATACAGACTATATATAAAATCATTTAAGTATTTTGTAGGCTTCTGTCAAAAATTACCTCTGATACATCTGTTGATGCATTCATTAAACTTTGTATGTAGCTATTTAGCTCTACTTTCCTCTTGGCTGCTACATCCTTTACGTGAGTTCTTCCTAGAACCATTTTACTAGGAAAGCTACAGTAACAGAGATAAATAGTTACTTCATTTTTATTAAGGCAAAAAAAGTAAAAGCAATCATACAGACTAGGACAATACAAATGCATTAAAGCATTACTTCATGAAGTATTGCTCCATGTAGTGTCGAAGGAGTTACTTTTTCTGGATGGCTCAGCACAGATGTCTTCTTATGCATTTATACTGTATGTACTTTCATTTTTTTGGCAATCAGCTAAAGTGTTTCATATTCATATATATGTGTGTGTGTGTACATACACACATACATACGTATCTCCAAAATTTATTTAATTTAATTTAATTTTTAATTTTTTTATGCCACGCATCTTCCCTACAAGGTGACTGAAATGGGAAAACTTTAAGAGTATCCTAGATGCAGCTTCTCCCTCACTTGATTGTGGGAAGCCAGCAGGGAATGTTGAAGATCATGATCACGGAATTACAGCTCACTGAGATGTCCCAACTGCAATGGGCACCAAACTCCCAGACTGCAGTCATGTGACCGCAGGGATGCCGCGATGGCCAAGAATCTGAGAATCGGCCCTAAGTCCCCCTTGTTTAGCACCATTGTAAACTGAACAGTTGCTGAGCACTGCATGTGTTGTTGAAATGTTCAGGGCTTCATGCAGTTCCAGCTGATATATAAAACAGAGTAAATGAAGAAGTAACCCCCAAACAGGGTGCTTTTCTCACTTACTTCATTAAGAAAATACTTCAATAGACAATATGCTGATCTCTTAAACATCTAAATAGGTTAATTTTAGACATGTAAAAAAATTCTTCAAAAACAAAATTTTGACACGTACCCTGGTAATTTCCAAAGAGGAAATAAGATTCCAAGCTTGTTGTGTAACTCCTGAAACTCATCAAATGTGCGAAAAATGAATGTGGGTTCAGTTTGCCCCTCTCTCAAAACTCTGACCACATAGATCTGCCAAAGAAAAAAGCAAATATTTCACTGACTATTAAAAAGTTTAACTTCTGTAATCCTGTGCTATAATCTTTCCAAGACTTGTGCTCTTCAGATGTGGTAAGATTTCAACTCCCAGAATTGTGGGTCAGGGAGGCTGGGCAGACATGACCAGACTTGAAAAGGCCACATTTTATATTTATTTCTAATCATTCCATGAAAAAAGGTAATGGCAGTAGCAAGGGTCTCAACCTTTGTTTTGCCTTGAGCCATGGTTTACAAATCAGAAGGACTGGGTTGACGTACCATGATAATATTATAGCCTTGATATGCTTGCTTTGAATACAATTATTTCAATAGTTGGTATTGCAACCATATATATTTTTTCCAATGGTCCTATGGGGGTGCTACAACGGCTGTAATTTCAAGGACCGGGTGCAAATATCATCTTTTTAGCCCCGCTGTAACTTTGAATAATTGAACAAAATGGTCATTGTCTGAGGACTTCTGGTACAAAAAACCCTAAACTTCTGTAGCCATTTCCAAGACTTAAATATCATTAATTTATGGAAATCCATTAAAGCAGATATTCCTTCAGTGATATTACTGCATTCAAAATGGCTTGACTCATAGCTCCAACAAATTGCACTCAAACAACAGAATCTGAAATTCCTCTACAATGGGATACATGTGAAAATATGCTGGTTAAAGCAGATGAAGGAAGCTACGGAAATCATGCTGAATCAAAATACGTATAATTCATAAACTTACATAATATTTATCTGGGTTGTATCTCTTATGGTAGGTAAAAACAGATGCTTCTTTGATATGACTGTCTTGTTTGAGTGAGTATGTTTTGGGTGAAAAAGATAGGATTGGCTCATCGTTAGAAGGCAGCCCTGAGAAACACAGTTGAGCAAGGTTGTGAATAAAAAAGTTGAACTTTGTAGCAACACTTCCCAAACTTGATTCAATTAGCCTAAAAATAAACAAAGAATATTAATTTTATATATTACAAGTGTGCCAATATCTTTTAGTTTCTTACAACTTTAATTGCAATAAGAATATGAAGGATCACTTCACAGTTCAAATTCTTAGTACAGTAGTACCTCGTTACTTGACCGTTTTGAAACTTGTCAAATTTGATATTTGATACATTTTGATGAGAAAATGTCCCAGTATCCGTTGTTTGTTTGGTACTTGAGCGCAAGCTAAACTTGTTGCCATTGGTTGCCTTGGGACTCACTACATGAGACCTTGTGGTAAAAATTGTTTGGTACTTGTTGCTTTTGGCACTCCCAGAACCAACTAACAATGAGTATTTAGGTACCACTGTATATTAATCATAGTGGAAAATTTTTAAATTAATATTCCTGATATAAATCAGAGAAAGATGATGGTACATTTAGTTGCTTTACTACTGCTGAACCCAAAGGACTATGTATATATAGAATAATTCCCAAGTTTTCTTTTTGGAAATGCAAATTCCACAAATATATTACAAACTTCCATTGCTAAATTCTGGCAGTCCCAATTGCCACTATGAGGCAAATACTCCATGGTCACAACATTGACTTTGCTTGCTGGAATCCATCAGTAAAGGTCACAAATGGCAATCATGTGACTGCAGGACATTGTGATGTAATAACTGCAAGCCAATCAAGCACCTAAATTGTGACCATGGGACTACAGGGATGCTGCAATTGCCACCACTATGAAAACCTATCACAAGTCTCCTACATTCAGTGTAGTGATAACTTTGAAGGGTCACTGAATGAGTGTAGATTAAATGAAGATTACCTGCATATCCTTTCACTACCAAAAGCATTTTACATTAACATTTCGCTTATCTGTTTACAGAATTTGTAAACTGCCTAATTTGTGACCTAATTTGTAATCTCAGCAGTGTACATCAATTTAAAACCCAAACAATCAGAACTTCACCAACATAAAACCAAAATAAAACCAAACCATTAGAGACTGAATATAAGACTGTCTCTCCCAACAGAACAAGTTTAATTACTATCTTGCTCAGTGCATAGAAGAATCTGGTTTTCATGGCTCCATGAAAGGCTAATAGGTCAGGGTCACCTGCATCTCAGGGGGTGGGAAAGTTTATTCTAACGGTTAGACTCAGCAACCAAGTAGGCACTTTTTAAAGGCCCATCAGTTGACCCTCCTTGAAAAAAAAAGGCACTTGGTAGCATGCCAGTCCTATACATCCTCTTCCAAATGGGCAGCACTAACTAGAGATAGGCAAATAACACAGTCCTGTGCAATGAACTGCTTTATCATGATCATTAGCACCTTGAATTGTATAGGAAACCTACCTGGAGCCAGTGAAGCTCATGGGCAAAATAAGAAAGTGGACATTTCCTTATTTCTACAGACTATAGCCTAACCCTATGCATTCAAATGTCAAAACCAGGTATTAAGTTGCACAAAGATAAGGACAAACCGGTAGAACTTCTCTTTGTGGAAGTTAATTGAGCCTTTAACCTTAGCTGCAAGCAATAGGTACATGCAAGAAAAAATATTTTAAAATTATTTGTGTAGTACCTTGTGAAGAAAATGGTAGCCTCAGCATCAGTAGTTTGGGGCTGAAGAGCATCTTGGACATATTTGAGATCTTGAACTCCAGTAAGTTCTGGCAAGCCAGAAGACATCATCTGTAAAATGAACAGATACAGCAACTTTTTCGGTAAGAAAATATACAATACTTACTTGTACATAAACAAGCATTTATTTTTGAAAAAAAAGATTTCCAGATTTATGCATGCTATTCAGAACTTTTAAGTTGAAATTAAGTATGAACATAGTCGTGTTCCTTGTTTTAAAACACAGCCTATTTTATTGTTAACATCAGTGACATATAGAAATATTACCAGTGACAGCAGATTAAGGAAAAGGTTGGCTTGTTTTCTGATTAGATTATAAGCTTGGCAGCAGAGATCAACAAACAGCTGGAAACGAATTGTGGGCTTTTCTCCACCATTGATAACGTAAGCCATATCTGATGTCAGTACAAAAGGAGCCCGATCCCTTTCAAAGAATAGAAAATAAGAATTTGTTTTTAAATACTGCATCCTGCATGTAGCCAAGCATGACATTTTTTTAAAATTGAGAATCTCTAAAACTGAGGTAAAAGGTAAAATGTATAACTGAGGTAGTTTGCATAGGTCAAATGTATAACTTGTCTCCGCACATATGAAAATCAATACCAAATACAGTCAATCTCAATGAACAGATTTTTAAAAAAATGTTTTCAAATAACATGTGAATTATTTGATACCTCAGATGTTGGAATTTCACCATGTTCTAAAACAATATTTGGCTAAAGATAGTTCACAAAAAACTTATACCCCACCCCAGTTTAGGGAATTTGTGGAGCAAGATGAAAATACTTGCTTATTCAAACTGTTGGTAGGAAGCACTGCTATAAATGTATATCGTTTGTTACTTAGCAAATCTAGCTTTTATGGTTTAATACTTTTGATTCCCAATTGACCAGAGATGCTTCAGAAACAAATCTCCCATTTTAATACAAAGCACCAACATTGCAGAACAAAATTTAAGAAAACTATAAAACCAGTGGTTGACGTTATAGAAACACCTAATTCCTTTACCCCTTTTATGAAAATACTTCATAACAAAAAAATCACAACTTGACACCTTCAATGTGGCAGAAACAAGAGTTACAGCCATTATGTTTTTTAAGATGGTGTATTATAATTGCAAAATCTGCCTTGTTTTCAAATTACTGCGGTGGAACCTTTTAATTTCCTCATAGTTTCATACCTCTTAAAGCTTCCAAACATCTGAGCATGCCCCAAGAATTTTCCAAAATCAATATGAAACATATGTCCTGTACTTCGAAGCATTATGTTATCATTGTGGCGATCACAGATACCTAGAACATAGGTAGCCACACAACATCCAGCACAGGAATAGATGAAATTTTCGGAAGCCTAAAATAGACAAAATTAAATATATTTTCATTATAGAATTTGAAGAAAAGCACCTTGGTTAGTATTCAGAATCAGCTGCAATAGCAGAACATTCATTGATTGAAGAACAATATAATTTACAATGATTCAAAATTATGGTTAAATATCAGTTCTTTGGAAAATATCATTAACAAGATATATAATTATTTGACTTTTAAAATCCCGTTTCAGATAGATGAAAAATAGAAAATCTTAGGAGCAAGTTTTCCATGCAAGTGGAGAGGTAAAGTTTTAAAATCATCTGTCTGTGATTTACCAAGTACTGAGCATGTCATTTAAATGCAAGATTCCTGTTACTTCCAGCTGTCTCAAAGACGTAACTTGGAATTGTCATGTCAGTGATCTAGTTAAGATAGCACTGTCCCGTATTTAATTATTAAATATGACATGTGAATGAGTCTAGATAAGTGTTAGCACACAACAGACAACATCCTACTATTATCATTCTCATAAGTTCCTATTTGGAAATTATAAGTAATTTACCTTTTTATATTCTTCTTCTGTAGGGTTGTATTTTCTTAGCCATTCTGCAAGAGGCTTATCTTTAAAGGATCCTGTCACTCCATACTCCACTTGAATTTTCCTAAGGGTATCTGAAGCTGGAACAAGTTCTACCATTCCTTTAAATCAATCAGCAAAAGTTAATGAGTGAGTGTGTGTGTGTGTGTGTGTGTATGTGTGTGTGTGTAAAATATATTACTATGTATTACATAAAAACATTTAACTTGAAATCTTTAAAAACGTTTCTAAATGCAAATTGCTTGTCAATATCGATTATTATACTATTCTTTGTATTTAAAATACTAAATAATACTACATTGTAAAATAATTCAACAATTCAATTTAAATATTGTTCCTGTACAAAACCCCCACAAATCCTTTTATTTTTAAATCAACTAAAAATGGAACATTTTAAATTGAGCTTTATAGACTTTAGTTTTCCTGGAAATAAGCATGAAAGTATTTTATCACTGTGATCTTATGAGACATTTTTTTTAAATTTCCCAGCCTAAAGTCTGGGATTCCACATGGTCTCTCATTCAAATCCTATGTTTTTGGAAGTCAGCCATTAGTTAGATGCTGCCACCTGCTGTAGACACATCAACTTAAAATTTAACATGAATAAAGTGAACATTCTTCAACTTTCTGTATACTAGCAGCAGACTTCTTATAGTGTTCTAGAACAGCACATGGGTTTTGCAAATATATTAGGCAGTTCAATTAATGCCAATTATTTTTATGGCTATTGCATTTTGGGCTGCTCAGCAAATATGTGGCATCTGAGAAAACAGGCTTTTGCAATAATGGTGTTGGGTCTGCCATTCCTGCCAGAAATTGTGACAGTAGCCAGACAAAGCTTTAACATCGCACGTAAGTTAAGACAAGACAAGAAATTAAAGCTCTACCTCTATCTTTGCCAGTTGCAAGGCACTTGAACATAACCATCCTCAAATCCAGCCCTTCCTGTAACCAGATCTTATCCATGATTTTTATCATTTGCAATGCTAACATATCCTGGCGCAGATCTTCTCCTACCTAAGAAAAAACAAGTCGCAAATGAGAGAAAGGAATGTTATCAAGACAGGCTCAATGCCTATTTTAAGTTAACAGCAGAAACTGATCTGGGGTATTTAAGTTAGTGTTTCTTTTCTAGTATTGGTTCTCTAGGTATAGAATAGGGCTGTCAAACTCCTGGCCCGTGGGCCGGATGTGTCACATGCTGGCCACGCCCACCCCTTGTTTAGCAAAGGGGGGGAAGTCCCAATATGTCACGTGATGCTGTCGTGCCGTGAGTTTGACACCCTTGGTATAGAACAAGGTGAGCAACTTGCAACCTGAAGATTGTATGTCTCAGGAAATTTGTTCACTTTCTTCAAAGTCTGCTAATACCTTATTTCTCTGCACTTTATAATAAGAATGGGTGCTGTGGCCCAGCACGCGCAGGCATATGTGTGAGGTTTTTGTGTGTGTGTGTGAACAGTATTACTCCTCAGGAGAAAAAGTGGTGTGAGTAGGAGCAATCTATAGGAATGACTTTGCTATTAGCTCTGCTTTTGGGAAGCCACCAGGAAAGGTTGGAAATGCCAATTGCATTGCTATGGGAGGCTGCAACTTTCCTAAGTGTTAAGCCAGTTGTCAAGCACCTGAATCACATGTCTCTGGAGGTGCTGGAATGGCCATAATCCCGAGAACTGATCATGTTACCACTTGTTCAGTGCTATCGTAATTGAGCAGTCACTGAATAACTGGCTGTAAATTCAGAACTACTTCTACTTCAAAACAATTTATTTGAAAATTGACATAGTGAGAAACTCAAACTTCATTTATGAAACAATGTTTAGTATAAACTAGAGAAAGCATGAATGAAAATATGTCACAGGTAAAGAACATATAGCTGAAACGCTTCTTATAACCAAGGTAGACAGCATGCTATGAAATGACTAGGTAAAGCCTGCTCCCTCCAGAGCTGTCTGTTTTGTTTTATAAGTATCATTAATGTGGTAATTTTTCATCAATTCATGAATATTGCTCTAGTTGAAAGGAATACACTATTTTTCCAATATAGTAAAATACATGCAAAAAGGTATCCAATACAAAATTTAGTGGCAGATAAGGGCAAAAATTCATTGCAAAACAAGATTTAACAGAATGGTTAAAAACTTTTTAAACCTCTCATGTTCTAAAAGGAAACCATTATTCTTAGCAAAAAAAAAAAAAAAAAAACAATTTTAGAAATGCCTTAACTTTCATCTAACACGTGCAAATTCTCCCTACAAATGTTTAAAGCATCCAGAGGGCTCTTTATGATCATAACAAGCCAGAACATTTTTTTTCTCATGGAATTAACACTACCAACAGTACTGGAGGGGAAATATCTGTTATTGTAACAAAAAATGTACCTTAAACATTACATTAATTTCTTCTCCCAAAGGATCTGCATTCACCAAAGCAATTTTAAGAGGAACTGCATTAGAACTGAAATACGAACATGCCTGTCAAAGATATAAAACATGGTTCATATTATATAAACCAAGAGGTGAAAAATAGAAATGATAAATGTTCTAAGTTTGGTTTTGCTCAGTTTCTCGTTATATTATAATAACAATAGAAATAAACAATTAAATTAGAATGTACACAATTACAAAATGGTAACACTAAAGGCCCAGACAATTCTTAAATAGTGGTATAATAGCAGTAATATACTAGTTATTCCCTCAAGTGGAAACAACATCAAAAACAAGGAAGTTTGTCACCAGGGCCAGTTTAAAAGTCTTTAAACAGAGGAGAATCCTGATTCCTCAGAATGAAATAGGGACATTTTAAGGGCAGTTTTAAAAAGTTTATATATACTATATGTGGTTTATCCTGTATTCTTTTTATTTAGAGAAGTTTCATAAAGATAATACCAACCTAGCTTGTTGCAACGAGTTGAGAAATAAAAATACATTCTGGCTGCACAAATTGGCAAATGTTTGCCAGGAGGAGTAAGCAAACAATAAATATGTGGGGGAGGAAGGGAAGACGAACATAGGAGACACAGCTAGGAAAAAGGTCAGCTTAGAAAGCGAGAATCTGAGGGGATAAAGGGAATAAGAAACAAAGTTTTAAATAAGGAAGACAGATGGCTACTTCTGAATAAAGGAGAGGTAAAAATAAAAATGCAGTTGCTTTTCTTTCTGCAGCCCTTTGCCCAGCTGGGATTCCACTTCCTGCAACTAACAAGGATAATGACACAACTTGGTAAGTGCAACCGATTCAGAAGTAATGACTGGCAACTCCAACACTGAGGAAATACACAGGCTGCCAGTTTCACCAAGGAGGAAATTACTCAGTGATGTGCCCAGTGACATGGCTGGGAGAGAGCTTTCAGAGGAAATAAAGAAATATGTACTGGGTCTGACCTGAGGAGGAATGATCACAGGAAGTGAGATATATTGCTAAATGAGACTTTTGAAGAAATAGTTGTTGCTGTGAGCATTTTGCAAGGCTGGAAACAAAATTGGTTTATTTAAAAATGCTGTGGGCCTTTTGAAATGTATTATACCTTTAAGAAGACTGCTCTGTCTCTTATGTCTAGCTCTGTGCAAGCCTCTCTGCAGGACACGATTTCATCTATGTATGACAGCATAGTGTAGTTTATAGTTATTCTTATGGAGTAGTCAAAACTAGAGGCCAGAATTCTGTGGTTATATGTATTTTCTGTCCTCACTTCCCCTGAGCAGTTTGCAGATCACAAAATTGAGAACATCAATCTCCTAACATTTACAGGCACAAAAGGTAAGTAGACAGAAATGGAAAAGGATGAGAGGAATATAGAGGAATCAATGAATATTGTCAGACCGCTCATACCTTCACATTCAATTCTTTAGCTACAAGACTGGGGCTGAGAGGCAAGCGGCATTTGTTTTTCAAGAAAAAAGACTGGACACGTTCCATTCCACTTTGCAGAACCATCTGTTAACAACCAATTCAATGTTAAACTTCATTAAATAATATTTGCAGAAATGTTTTCATTATGAATAAAGCATTAAGTTATATCAGTGTTCTTTTATAACATAATCTGAGGTGTGAAACAGCAGTGGTGTATTTTGGGGTTGTATATTTCAGTCCATATTACAAGGCTCAGAATTTTGTAAAAGTAACCTCACAACCTCAACTCTGCTTGATGTATGAAATATGACCGTATCATTAATACATGTAACTGTGCTTTCATTCACATTTATACCTAACTTGATCACTTCACCAACCTGTCTGGCTGATCCACTCGTCTGCTTGACTTTTTCTGCAACCATTCCTAAGATCTGCACAAGTCTTGACTGCCTTTCCAGCTCTTCTCTCAGACTTTTGCCACAGATGGAAAGGAAGGCACCAAGGATATGCTCATACCTTATTCCGTGTTTGGTATCATGCAAGGTATCCTTTAGTAACCTAAAATATTACATAACATTAGATTGGGTTTCCTTCACACATGCTTATTTGAGCCATATTTTGTACAAGTGCTCCAGGCAGGATGTATAATGTGTCCCTCTTCTATTTGTCTCCACAACAGCAACCCAATGAGGTAGGTTCAGCTGAGAAAGATAAAAACTGGCCCAAAGTCACCCAGTAAATGCCTGTGGCTGATAGTAGACTGGAAGCTGGATCTGTTCTCCCCTAATTCAACACTTTCACCACTAGAGCACACCAGGCCTCTGTAATAAGTTGGATTTAAAGTACTACAAAACAGCAGAATAAAGCAGAAACCACGTGCTTAACTGGCTGGTTGATCTATGACACAGAGAGTGGAAGGAGACAAAGAACTGATATAATCTTTGACTTAGTATAAGCCTCAATGAACGTAGCCCTCACATTTAGAAGTCCCAGGAAGACATGAATATTTTGCATATGCACATACCCCTAAAATAGGGACATATTTAAAGTATTTTCCTTTCTATCCAAACCCAGAACTGCCTTACCACTTCAGACTCCTTAACTTGTCACTGGTCAGAACACATAGCAGATTGCACTCTGACTTTGATTTTTTTTCTATCATCTAGGAAATGGTCTTAAGAGTGAATTGTTTTAATTTATGCAGTTTACTGTACACTGATTTTATTTTGTTGTTTAAAATAAATAATTTGTACATAAAAATAAAACAAAGCAAATGTTCAGTTTCAAGAGAAGATTCATACAATGGATCAACAGAGAATGTGTAGAAGAGAGGACAATAGCATCTGAAACCATTCTTTTATTTTCATTAATTTATACAGCACCTTCCACCACATTTACAATGTTTATGTAAAGTTAAATCAGTTAAATAATTTTTTTTGTCCCTATGTAAAGTATAATATTGCTTGACACAAACACATTATCTGAATTCAGCTTTAGAGAGAGATTAATGCAAGATGTGGTAATAATGCTTTGGAACACAAGAAAGCAATCCAGAACTTCAGGAAAAATACAATAGCTTAATTTCTATCAGCAACAGCATAATTTTTTTCTGGTTTATAAAGATTTATGAATATTCCTCATTTTTAAAGTTCTCACATTAGGTTTTTACTTTTTCTTGAAAATATAAACATTGTTGAAAGATGATAAAAAGAATATAAATCTTCTTACCAATATAGGTAGTGTGCTATTCGAATATTTCCTAATGCTCGGGCCAAGAGGAATCTGACTAAAGAGTTGTCCAGATAAGTTTCATATTTTAATGCCTAAACATACACAAAAGATTAAGTTTTATACAGAATTATAGTCTAGATTTAAAGGCAACTTAGCATAAGTGGTTTTCCGCATCAACAGTTTTTCAATTATATGAACTTCCCAAAATTATGCTCTTTAAAATATGAAACTATTCAGCACTATTTAAACTAAATTCAGACTCAATCAATCAATCAATTTATCTATTCCATTCTGTCTGCCTATGTTCTTAGGAAGCATTGTCCATCTAAAACACTTGGATGTAGGAAAGATAATATTTACACTTTCCTTTCTTTTGCATCTCCTTATCAATTCACATATCAGAAGGTCTCTTCAAATTTTTGGATATTTTTTTTTATTCACAGCCTTTGAATAACTATTACCTTATTAAATAGCAATACACAAACAAAATATAAAATTATTTTTAGAGGGAGCATATTCAAAATGGTTCTGAAGTGATATGATAAACAGTAAAAAATATGTCAGCAGCATTGAAATTACATTTTATTTATATATTGATATTCCATAGTTTTTATTTTTATAAATAATTGGAATACAGTCAAGATTGTAACATAATATAAACCATCTCTTATCCTTATAAATGAAAAGACCTTTGAGATGAAAAAGGAAACATTAAGAAAGGTCTTAAATGATAATCCTAACATTGAGGCAGGCTCACAATAATTTACATAATTTAATTTATATGTGAACCAACAAACTTTATCTTATTACATCTTTTTCCATTATTTCTCCTGAATTTTCGACGCTTGCTCCTTCAATCATTGGTCTCTATGAGTCTATTTTCTTCCTCACACAACTCTTCAATCATATACCATAGGCTGATAATATTTTCAGGCCTCAAACTCCAAAGATCTCTCTCTCTCTCACACACACACACACACACACCTCCAGTGAAATCTTATGAGAACACCATTTCACAACAGGTCAAGTCAACCACAAAATCCCATTAAGATTCAGAGATAATCTGCATGAGACTTTGGTCATTTCCTTTTCTTTTTGATTATTTAATTCTGAGGTTTTAAAGACACCATAAATCTACCCTCATTTACTAGACTCAATATAAACAAATGCAAATAAATTTCACCCAGGTTGTTTAACTTTAGGGTGCCAAATATGCAACAGAAATTGCATGGAAATAACTGGGGAACAGAAAAGGATGCTGTTATAGAATGTTTAGTTAGTTTGTTTTATGCTGTAAATGCTATTGTTCAACTAAAATAGCATTTTATATTGTATCATTTATTAGACTTAATATCAAAATTCCTAATGTTAGTTCCATAAACTAATTGTGGTTTCTGATTAATTTCTGTGCAGTTACAAATGCCATTTTCCCCATGTCAGTGTTTAACGTGGTATTATTCTGACCTGAACAAACTGGGGAAGAAGGTCCGCAAGTTCATCATCGTTTATTGCCTCAATCCACTGTACAGCTTTTGTTCTTACTTCTTGATCTGCAAAACTATAAACCAGAAGATTAGTTGAAATCATACTTGATTTAAGTTTGGCAAGAATACATGTTCCAAGGATATTTGGAAAACTTTTAGTGGGGAACATTAGCAATAAAGTTTTAGCCTATACAAAAAGGTTTTATGCATTAAATCATAATGCATACACCATTGAATGTTTATAAGGAACAGAATAAGGGCCATTTTTCATGTCAGTAGACTAAATCAGAAAAGATACTGGTTTACTTAAATCAAATACTTAACCTTAAATTCTGATGTAACTATATACAAATATTAACATAATGTTACAGTTTCAGCCTAGCAAATAACTTAGAAAGGTAAGATATACAAGATAATTTGTGATCTATCAATAACATCCACATGGCAAAATGCTGTGAAACTTGTAATGTGGCTTTTTTTTACAGAGGCTGTTTACTTAGAAATAATCTAGAAATGCTTAACAGCTCATAATCTATTAATATTTTTCAAAACATATTAGAGTCTGAAATAAATGTATCTAACTTACTTTGCATTCAGCAATTCTAATGCAGTAAGTGGAGGTAAAGGAGGCCACTGTTGAAGTAGCAAATATATTTCAGGAAGATTAGTCAAATCCCAGCTCGGAGCACTAGCCAGGATCTTAGGCAGGCTGCCTGAATGTGTGCAACAATAATGTCGCTTCTCCCATAAAAATGCCTTATCTTTCCTAGATAATCTATAAAAGATAATTCCAAACATATTTATTAATTCATTACATTGCCATTATAGTCACTAACACCTAGAAGCCTTAAAACAAATCCTGGGTATAACTATTCTTTCTGAGGCAAAATCAATCCAAATATTAATGTTATTATTACAGCTACAATGAGTGTCATCATTCATCCTGCTCTCCTTTCATTTATTCCATTAGATCTTCAAAACAAGAAGTTCAATTTCAAAAATTCAGAGTAGATTAAAAGAGGAACTGAAAACTTCAAGTGGTACTGCGACTCATGTTTTAATAACTTCTTTACAAAAGAAATGTTGGTGCTATAAAACTGTCATGAATTAGCCTGGTAATGGGTACCAAGCATTTTGATCAGGTTAAAGCTATTTTAGTTGAACTGTACATTGGCTACTAGAGGAAACCTTGCATTCATAAGCAACTTTGAATATAAGGGTAACCTTATCCATTCCTTTCTTTTCTGTATGTTTCATCTGCAGCCTTATTTTTGACTTCCCAAACTCATTATCTTCCTCTGTTCTTTCTCTGTCAACAGGAAATTCTCAGCCTCTGACACTAATGGAATGTAAAATCATAAGTACTACTGTACTACTGTATACTGTAAGGATAGTCCTCGATTTATGGCCATAACTGAGCCTGATCATAAAGTGGGTCATCAGGTGACCAATCCAATTGTACAATCTTTTTTTTTGGGGGGGTGGCATAAACATAAATGCTGCGGTTATAAAGCAAATACTGCAGTTGTTAAAGAAACCCATTGTTTGCTGTTTTTTTTTTGCTGGAAACTGGAAGTAAACACTGGTTTCCAGAAAAACCATAGTACACTGTGGTCATGTGACTATGAAATGCTGCAAACAGCTATAAATGTGAGCTGGCTGCTGACTGCCCAAAATGCAGTCTTGTGACTGTGGGGGTAGGTGGGTAAGGGTTGCTGCCATACCAGGTCATACATTTTTGGGAAGGTTCATCTTCACTTTCAACAATTGCTAAGCGACTGGTTATAAGTTAAGGACAACCTTTTAACCTCTGATTAAAAGTCAATAGTCTGAGTACACTTCAATTTTTTTATAAATGTCTTTTTTAAAAAAAAATATTGTTATATGATAGTTCAAGATTTCAATTATTCAACGTCCCCTTCTGAGTAACAGTTGGACTGTATTTTGAAAAAAAATGATGCATACTGGTCATATGTAGTTCCCAATATTCTTTAGAATCTCGTCAAAAATTGTTATATACGCAGCAGAAATAAATACTGGGGAATGATCATATCTAATAATCTACATATGAAATGTTAGATTTGAAGTAACCAAGAGAACATACCCATATGTACCCTCTTTGGAAATAATGGAAAGAAGACGCTCCCTTGAATCTTTTTCCAATGTTTCTATAGAATTACATGTGGAATTGTTTGCAGCCTGAGGAATTTTGTATATAATGTCAAATGGTAAAGAAGGAAAGTCAACCTGAAATGTTAAAATAATAAAACAATAAATTACAAAACAGAAAGCTCTACTGGCACTTCAGTTTTTCCCACTTAAATTTCAATCTCTTTCACTTTGTTTCTTTTCCTTCCCTACTGTCTATATACTATTAAAAACTGATTCCTGCAATCTTTAACTGGGCAAAACAGTGAACCGTAGGACAAAACATTTTGAATGAAGGTACTGTACTTCAAATGGACTCGCTTATAAAATGCATCCAAAAACTGGAGCCCATAACTCCCACGGCAAATTTTATAAAACATTTTATGACATAAACATATTCATAAAGCAATTTATGATATAATACAAAATGTCATAAAATGTTTCCTATGCTGATGTTTGACTGTGCTATATAGTTCAATATGAGCTAAATAGTTTATGACAGAATACAAAATGTCATAAAATGTTTCCTAGGCTGATATTAGACTATTTACCATACAGTTCAGCAAGGGTTATTTTCATCCCAACTTTTCTAGTGAAGGCAGTATATTAGAAGCTCTCTGACCGTTAAAGGCATTGGCAGAATCTGGTAAGGAAATACCCCTAAAATAATGGTCCAACAGAGCATCGTTGTCTAGATACACAATAAAGTACATCATAGGAAAATAATATCTGGGAGCCATTTATAGTACCTGAAACTTTGTCATGTATAATGAATACAGTAGATGTACTGTATATGAGGTAGGCATTGATGGTAGAAATTCAAGTGCTTGCTATTTTGTTTACCATATCAAAGTGATACCCGTTTAAAAATGGAAAGAACAGTAAATTAATATTCAAAACTGCTTCTAAGTTTAGTTTACCGCAACATTATTCCCCTGGCGCTTTGTGTCTGGACACTGCTTCTTCTCAAAAGTGGTCAGAAAGCTGCAGTTTCCAACTCATTTGTTTCTGACTTGGCATGTTAAGCATGTAATACTTATTATACATGCTTACATACTATTTCTGAGGGCCACAAACCACAAATTGTCACTATGGTTTACAATAGGTAATCAACATTGCCTGTTTCCAGTTAACACCGGACCCTTATTAATCCATAAATGAGAAGTGCATCTCTCAATATTCATGGGAGGAACCACTGGCTGAAACTTTTGAATGCCCATGCAACCATTTCCAAACAATAAGTACATATCTCTGCATTATACCAATATCCCCAGGATAAAAGAACAATCAAATAAAAATATCCCCAAACAATGTATTGGCAGAGAGGCATTCAGGATTAAAATGTAATATGTTCAGGAATATGGAAATTATTCTAATTTATCTTATTAACTGTGCAATCAGCTTTGCATGTGAAAAAAATACTTATGTTTCAAATATGAACCTTTACAAAATATCTACACTCAAGTGCAAAATTACTATTCTATGTTTAAATTGGCCTATTTGAGCATCCTGGAAACTTCAAATTGCTTGAAATAGCTTGTTGGCTAATTCTAGTAAAATAAAATAAAAATATTTTCATATACTATTTTGTGGATGATTTGAAAGACCAAATAGAAATGGGACCTATTTCTATTACTATTGGGAAACAGAGCATATTACATTTCACCACTATAAACAGTATATAAATGCTTTTTTTAATCATTGAGGAAACAGTATTACCTGCAACATTATCCTTTCCATTAGGTTTCCCTTTTTATGGGCTACTGCAGAGACAGTATTTAAGTTTTGAGGAGGTATCCAAAGATGTAAAAGTTTTGTCCCACATGTTAACATTCTAAAAGTATAGAATATATAATTTAATTTTATGACATTTCAAGAGACAATACATTTTAGAAAACAAAAAAATTATCACCTCAGGAATACCACTAATTCCTCATTTATAATCCCCAGTGCATTAAATCTGAATATAATTTAATAACTTTCTACAATCTCTTTTTGTAGAAAATTTTATATCGAGGCAATCCAAAATACCTGAGGTTCCTAATCCACATAGTAGGAATGTTAATACAAAATAGAAAAAGACAACATTAGACTATACAACACTATACAAATCTTTTTGTATGTGCTTTTTTCAAATGCTTAAAGGCTATATTTATATACAGTTTCCACCCCAAATATCCAATGTATTATACCTTAAAAAGAGCTCTGAAACCTACAGTTAAACACAACTTCATTTTAGTTGTACATTAAGACAAGTTGTGATAGTGGTTGTTATATGGGCAGTCAGCAAGAGTCAATGACTTCTACCTGACAAACTGTATAATAACACCTACATGCATGTCACTTCTCAAAGAACTGGCAAGACAGGTTCTTATCCTCAAAAGACCCAAATCTAAAACGATGTCTAAAGATCCAACAAGGCTGATGCTTCAAACCACTCATCTGAACAGCAAAATTAAGATTAAAGAAACACTCTAGCACAGTGATGGCTAACCTATGACACGCGTGTCACTTGTGACACGCCGAGGCACTTTGACTGACACGCCTGTTGGTGTGGGGAAAACCTGCACATTTAGAGGCTGCCTGTGCTCTGCTCCAAGCCCTGCTCCCTGCTTGTTGCATGGAGGTGTGGTGTCACCGCTGCCGCAAGATCTTTGCAGCAGAGAACCAGTTTTAACCGCCATAAACTGAGGTTTGTCAGTTTCATTACCTCAGGAACGCTACAGGAGGAAAGGAGATCCATGAGGTTCACAGCCCTGTAAGGTGGCCTTCTGATCCCCACATCCTGCACCTGCAGCCCTGAGACCAGGGAGACGAGTTTCACAGCCCTGTGTTATCACCCCAGCCCAGTCCGTCATAAACCAAATTATGGATATTTCTTGAAGTGACACACGACCCGAGGAAGGCTACACTTTTCCCCGATTTTCGACACACCAAGCTGAAAAGGTTAGCCATCACTGCTCTAGCATTTTACTGTTTGCTTCAAATACTTACCGTTCAAAGTCAAAGAGCGATAACGAAACCTGACCCAACATTCCTGGGCCTTTTCTCTGTTTATTTGAATCTGGTGAATTACCACCATTTTGATTTAAAATACCAAAAAGAGTAAGGCATAGGATGGACTCTAATGGCAACTGAGAAATTTGGATGGGAAAAATTATTCTGTAAAATAATAGAAGTGGGTTGTTACATAATTATTGATTACATTTTAGAAAAATAATTAGTTAATATGTTAAATGCCTGCCAAATCTCATTAATGTTATGTCATTGTATAAAATAATTTCATCAATATCTAAAAAACATTTGATCTCAAATATTATACATAATTGACATAAGATTTTTATGCAAATAATGGCTAATTAAAATATTTTTTTTCTTGAAATGGTTGGTTCCACACATAAGATATAGAACTGATCATCTAGTTTCAAACCAACTCGATTTGAGAACCTAGCCGACAAGTTTTATATTTGCTATATTTGACAAATTCATTTTGTTTGTGTGTGAAATATTTAATTCTACAAATGGTTCCCTCTAATTCCTAGGTTTGTGCCAAAAAATCAATTAGTGTTAAATATATTCCTTGAATAAACTGTAGACCCTAAAAAACCAACATGCTTGCTCCGAGGCTTTCAAATGTCTTTTAGGTATGCCATTATAAGCAGAATTATTTTTTTTAACCACGTAGTGCAAACCCCAGAGATATTGAGAGGGGCTTGAAGCAGCCATACTGAGGTTTTGAATAGCTATGTGTCATGAGTGGGATTCCACGGTTGTCTTCTTCAGACACACACTTGAATAACAGAACAATGAGCACTTCTCCCAGTCACTCCCTAGCCTGTAGTTTTGAATTATATTGAAAGGTCTTTTTACTAGCTGACAAAGTTAATGGGATTTTCAAAAATTAATTAGCAGTTTAAAGGAGTGTGACAGACATTTACATAAAGAAATTCTTTTATGAGTCTGTAAACTAAAAGAAAATACACTTACAATTCATCCCATTTAATCAAATAGAAGAACTTCTTATATGTGCCAACCTTCTTGGACTGGACTGGTTTGAAGAGATCTTTTCCATTATGGGTCAAAGAGCAAACCAGATAATATTTTTCATAGCTAAAAACAAAGCAAAATGTAGTCAATAAAAATGAATATAACATTCAGGGTAAAGGTACAGTTTACTGTAAATACTCACACTGAAACCCAGTTATTAGGAATTCCATGAGCAGCAAATATGGTGAACTGGAGATGCTCTGTGGCAGTCCATGCTTCTTTAGTGCTTTTTGTAGTCCCTGGAGTGCTTAATGAAGGACTGTGGTATGAGTTCAAGTAGAGTTGAAGAAGAGCATGGACTGCAGAGGTCAGTTGATCTATGCTCATTTGAAGAGGATTTTCAGATTGCAAAGAACCTAGATAATTGTTTTTTAGTGTTAAGAAGGTAATGATCAGAATACCCTTTAAAAGATTGAACAAAGGTGTTTAATTTGTACTTACCAATTGGAGTCTTGCTAGTGTCATCAGATGATATTATAGATCCCTATCCAATGAGATATGAAAAAAGTTATCAATCTCTCCAAATTGGGAAAAAACCTTTGTTGAATTGTTATTAATATTTCTGCTTATTACTAAGATATTCATGCCACCAAGACCTTTTGTACTCCTTATTTGTACTACAAATAGTCCTCAACTTATGACCACAATTGAGCTCAAAATTTCTGTTGTTGGGACATTTATTAAGAAAGCTTTGTCCCATTTTACGACCTTTGTCACAGTTAAGTGAATCACTGCAATTAATAAGTTAGTTGTGAATTGGGTTTTCCCATTGACTTCGCTCGTCAGAAGGTTGTAGAAGGTCATTATATGACCTTCGAACACAGCAATGGTCGTAAGTATGAACCGGTTGTCAAGCACCTGAATTTTGATCGCATGATCATGGGGATGCTTCAAAGGTCATAACTAAAGAATGGTCATGTCACCTTTTTCAGTGCTGTTGTAACTTTGAATGGTCACTAAATGAACTGTTGTAAGTTGAGGACTACCTGTATAGAAGCAGAGAGTGGCTTGAATCAGGTGATGCTCATACCATCACCATTGCAAAGTTTGTCGGTCAGCAATCAGAATTAAAAAAAAATCAGTCTCACTATATCAACTTGCTTAAAAATAATTAGCATGGTGTAGAACAGGGGTGTCAAATTCACAATCCGCAGGCCGGATGTATCATGTGCTCCCCCCCCCCCCCCCCATTTAGCGAAGGGGAAAAAAGTCCCGATATGGCACATGACGCCACCGTAACGATGTCAGTTTGACACCTCTGGTGTAGAAGATGCGGCTGAATCAGTATCTGCCCCACTGCATAAATGGGATATAGCAGAAAATTGCAGGATTTAACTAATTACCTCAGGGCTCTTGTTCCCTGGAAGGTTAACTGTTCTTCTTAGATTCTTTACAGCTGCAGTAATTGCTGGAGTCTCTACCCCATCTAATGAATAGCAAATTTTTCTGACAGCTTTGATGACTGGTTCCATTGCTTTAAACCGATTCTGATGAGAGAGAAAAAAATAAACAGGGTAAATTAAGGGTAAAACCCAACATTTCTCAACTACATTTCCATTAAACCAACAGAACATCCCCTTCTATTCCTTCCATAAATACTCCCACAATTGGAGGATATATATACCTCTTGATTTACAGGAATATGCAGGGAGAAAAGAAATCTCTTCCACTGAACAGATGCCATTTCATTGGCAAATAATAGATGTTTGAGGCGTACGTTAGAGAATAATATGTTAGAGAATAAGGCAGGCATTATATATCATGAGTGCATTTAAATATTTTAAATTTAGCTGCATCCCTTCTTCCACTGGCTGCCACCTAACTCTAAAGCATATTGTACTGACACCGAAGAAATTGATGACAAGTTCACAGAACAGTATTGTGTATACAGTAATCTACATAGAAGATTATTTGTTCAGCGTGGGGATGTTCTGAACCTGTGTGTGGCAAACAGTGGCACAGGAAATATCATATGGAAGAAGAATGGGAGAAAGAGTGAATTCATTTAAATTTTGGCCTATCGTAGATGTTGTCACTTTTTTTACTTCATTGTTCTTACCAGATGAAAATGGTGTACTGGTGACAAGAATAAGCTAAAGTATGGTTCAGGGAAGGGGGTCTCCAAACCCTGGGCCGTGGTCTATTCAGAATTGGGCACACATGCGTGCAGCTCAATTCTCTCTTGAAAACATGCAGCTCAACTCGCACAAGCAGCAGGCTGATGCATATGTGCATGCGTGTGCAGTTCAACTTGCACCCAGCCAGGCCGTCAAGCTGCAACGGTTGGGGACTGCTGGCTTAGGGAACTACTATGTTTCAACTGGAGGACAAAAAGTAATGTATGAAGCTTAAAGTAGATTGGAAAGTGAGGCTTAGGAAAAAAATTCGTATTTGAGCAATAACATCTAGCAAATCACAAATCACAAACAGCTAATGGTACAATATACATACATACTCTCTCTCACACACACACACACACACACACACATATATATATATATATATATAATAAATGCATGATTAGTAAAGCATGAAATGTACTGGAAGTGGGCTGTGTGAATCATTCATAAGGGTGTCTTGCAACATACATTGATGGGGGTGGGGGTGGAAATCACCTCTCCCCAATGAGCTGAATCTTTTCCAAGAGGCTCAGATCTTCTTGACAATCAGAAAGCCTTTATAGCAATCAGAGCCTTCCAGAAGATGCAGCTATTTCAAGAGTTCAAGGAGTATGTCACTCACAACAATATGCATTGCCAAGTGCTTCTTTGCATAACCATAATAGGAGACAACTTGAATGATAATGTTTACCTTATTTTTAAGCAGTATGTCAACTTGATTGTGATAAGCTTCTAATAGTTCTTCAAGAGAGTGGCTGGAACCAATAAGAATAATCCTATTACTTGTGACATACTATTAGTATAAGCTTTGTAAAATAAATAAAAAGGCACCAACATAACACATGCTTGATTACAAAATATAATGTTTGATTGTCCCTGGAATGAGATTCCCCTCTGAGATCTATATGGCTCCCATCCTGATAGCATTCCAGAAGGTCCTAACAAACTGGCTGTTCTCCCAGACATTGGAATAGGCTAGATGGAACCCATGATTAGAAATACTTGAATACACATTTTTGGAGTTAGTTGTTTGGATTTTCCATTATGTTTATTTTCCGTTATTGTATTCTTATTTATCATATTGAATCTGCACCTTATATATATATATATGACCCTAGAGTTAGTTTGGTGCTAGGCAGCACCAAAATTGAAACAAATAATATTATGACAAAGTTGTTACCTCTGAATGGTCTCTCTGAAAAGCTTTTTTACATGGCAGAGATGTTTTGTCAAATCTATTGTTGTCCCATCATCATCTACCTAATAATAGAAAATGTATAAGTAATTTGCCAAACTTATCAATATTCTCCCTTGACCTGTAAAAATAATCTAAAGACGGATAGACAGGTTTATTCTGAGAGTTCTGAAGATGAGAAAATTAGCATGTTTTGCTACCTCCTTAAATAGAAAACTGTAAGATGTCTGCTTTCGATTTCGCTACTAAAAAGTGACTGGCTGTTAAGTTCATAAACAAGAACTAATATTTGATAGCATTCTCCAATTTAATTAGGTTTACTCAGGATGAATTATCAATTTTTATAACCAACTTATGTGTAACCATAATTTGTTTCACAGGTGTATTCATTTTTAGTTTCATTGCTGAATTTCTTAGACTTTAAATAAACAACAACCCACAGTCAAAAAACTTCATGCTTCCTGCATTTGTGTTTTCACCTGTAGTAATGCTTGCTGTTCTCAATCCTAGCCTTTAAAATGCCAGGTAATTCTGCAAACAGTATGTGGAATATCACAATTCAGGAATCCTTACTATTTAGTCAGTTCAATATGTCATTAGGGCCTATTTCTAGCATACTGGAGAAGAAATATATTGGCTGCTCTTTAAAGAACAGAGTAAGCATGGTTAATTTTAAAGGACCACCAGGAAATCATAGGAATATAGTCTATACTGGGAGGGCAGAAACATTTTCAGAACGCAATAGTAAACCACCTATGTTTTGTTACACCAAGGACAACTGAATGAATACATACACTAGACACCAGGATCTGAGCTCAATTTGAAAGTTTTTTTTTCTTTCTAAGGCTAGTATCAAGGGTGGAGAACTTGGGATGTATCATCTTGTGAAAATCTAGTTCTCTGGTGAAAGTTCTAAAGACAGGCAAGGTGGAAAGAAAGAGAAAAAGAGGATGACCAACAGCAAGATAGATGGAATCACAGTGGCAATGGGTGAGCTGCTCGAAGATCTGAAGGACCAGGTTAGTGACTGTCATGGTAAAAATCTAATTGTAATGAGGATGGTTTACAATTTTTACAATTCTAATCACGGAAACTATTTCTACTGAAAGAACTAACACCAGAAAGAGACTTTCTGGCTGCTCTTGAATTACTTGATGAGGTGCATAACAGAGAGAGGAAGAAAATAGACCAGAGATAACTCATAATTCTAGGTACATGTGAGTCATGGTTACAAGACAGAGTTCACAATACAATAAAAACAAGGAATATGCAATACATATAAAATAATAAATGATATTTATTTTGATAAGTGAGTTTCCTTTGTACTTACTGTTCGTGCGAGATCTCTGCAAATATTATTATTAGTTAATAATTGTAGAATAATCTCTGTGTCCCACTTTCTGCAGTTTTGAATATACTCATGGCTTCCAACACAATGCTTGCTGTGAAAACAACAAATCATTATTCACTATTTCAAATTATCAATAAGATTTTCAACAAACATGAGTTCAAGTCCTGCCTTAGCCATGAAAACCAGTTGGGTGACTTTGGGCCAGACTCTCTCTCTCTCTCTCAGCCCAATCCAACTCAGGGGATTGTTGTTGTGGAGAAAGTAGAAGAAATGTGTGTTGGATATATTCATATGCCTTGCATTATTTGTAAAAACAATAAAGGCAGGATGCAAATAAATAAAAATATATGGACTGATTTTTAGAATTCATGTCTCCCTTCCGTTCATTAGTTTTCCCATTTCTCTTTTCAAATATTGCTTAGCAGAACTAGAAATGGGCCAATAGCAAACATGGTTGGAAAAAGCTTACACAGATTATTCTGAATGCTTTACTATGTTATTAATATTAATAGTAAATAATTAGGATGCTAGTCTTCTGGTCTTCTAAAGTATCAGAAACACTCTGATCAAATACATTTCTCAAATAAAATAACTCTAGACATATTTAAGACACTATTATTTTGGCATATTTAATTAGAACACAGAATTCATATTCCAAGCTTTGTCTTGTTCTGATGTAATATTGCCCCATTACTGTATAGCATGTATTCTAAACATGAAAAGTTCGCAGAATCACTCTTAATAAAACTTCAGATTAAGAGATAACCTAGAACCTCCAATAGGCCAAAACTATATTAACTTTAAAAGTAAGTAACTGATAAGACATATACTTTTACAATTACATGCCATTTTCAAATATTACAGGATTCTGCATTAGACAATTGAATGTATTCCATGACTGAATATTTTTTCTAAGAGTTAAGAGTTTTTCTAATAGTTAAGTTTGACAATGCTAGTATGACATTATAAATCTGAAATTTAAACAGATAAGAAAAAGCATGATTAATAAAATAAAATATACAATATGCCATATCTTAAATGAATAGAGTTCCAAATTCAATGATAACACCTATTTTAATTCTTATTGATAAAATTACTTACACTTTTCCAGTTACCGGTAGTAACAATCAAATTTGCGTTCACTATAGTTTTCTAGACATCACAATGTAACCAAAGCAAAACTTACTTCTGTAAAACTTCTTCTTGTCCACAAACTTTTAAAATATAACTGCCAATATCTACATCGTTCAAGTCATCATGTACCCAGCAAAGAGCCTGCATTATTATAAGTTCAACTGGAGAACTCACTGTTCGGAGAAAAACAAACACAGAAGGTAAGAAAAACAATGAACTGAAGGCAGTTTTGTAATATACAAAAACCATGGAGCCATTAACTCAATGCAACCCAAACCATTTTTGGAGTAATATAGTTAGCAATTTGAGAATAAAAAATCAACAGCAATTTATTCTCAAAAATCAATTCAGTTGTACTCAAAGAGCATATTTAATGCTCTATGTTTACATTAGACTTGGAAAAACAACGTAGGAAAACAAAACATATGTTGCAAACATAATGGACAGAATTAAAAATACAGGTAAAAGTCCACACATTTTTAAAATTAGTTCCAATCGAAAAGGCTCCTTTAAAACTTTCTCTAGGAATGTGTGTTTGATAACCCATGAAAGTCAAGCTGAAACTTCTTAAAACAAGGGTCTTCAAACTTGACAGCTTTAAGACTTGTGGACTTCAACTCCCAGAATTCCTCCTCCAGTCATGTTAGCTCAGGAATTCTGGAAGTTGAAGTCCACAAGTCTTAAACCTGCCAAGTTTGAAGACCCTTGTCTTAAAACCACGAAGCTTATGAGGCATGCCCTGCCTGGCAAGAAGGAAAAAAGAAAGCATTAAAGGCAGCCAACTGTTTCCTTTTGGAACTACAGGTGCCCTGCGGAGTCCTAGGAGAGACATGCTTTCTTTCTAGAGCCTTGGAAAAGTAAAGGCTGCTTTTTCTGTTTTTCGTTATAAAGCCAGCCTCAGCACTCCAACCTTAGCCAGGAGCATAGGAAAAGGGGCATTTTAAGACTCTGAAGTTGAGCGGCTGCTTTTAGCATTTTTTGCATTTCCTGGCAAAAAAAATGTGATGCCTTTTTGCTGTGTTGCCAAGCTAAGGCAAGTTCTTTCCCTGCCTTGTTGTCTCCCTGCGCCCATGCACACTGAAAACCCCTATAATTTGCACGTGTCCTGCTCTACGATTCCCAGGGACTCACCCAATGTGAGGCACCCCTGCTTTTCACTTAACAACCCACATGATCTTGCCTAGGAAAACCAAGATGTACTTGTAAAGTTGAGTCTACTCACGTGGTGACCCTATTAACAACTGCAATGACTTACAACCTAAATTGTGGCTGTGAGTCAAAGATTCACGGGTATAATTCAATTATCAACATTATTTTGACAATCTTTCAATCTACAGAAATGTATCTATTAAAATTAAAGTGCGCTTACCATCACATGTGAATGTCACTGGTTGTTGAAAACCCCCAATTTCTATTGAAATCTTGATGCTGGAGTTCTCTCCACTTACATTTCTTTGCAACATGACTGGACTCAACACGAAACCCAAGTTTGTATCATGCTTGGTATGAGGAAACTTGGTCCTTAATCTGTAAACAATATGTTTATAAATGGAGTTACAATGATCCTTGAAGTAACAAACAAGAACATAAACCAACACAAAGTGCATCAAATTGAAGCATGATTATGCAGGATTCCCGTTGAAATCAATGGAATTTCTGAATTAAAAATCCTTAGATTTACAGATAGTCCTCGACTTACAACAGTTCATTTAGTGACTGTTCAAAGTTACAATGGCACTGAAAAAAGTGATTTATGACTGTTTTTCACAATTACGACCTTTGCAGCATCCTCATGATCAAATGATCAAGATTCAGATACTTGGCAACTGGTTCATTTTATGTCCCAAGGTCATGTGATCCCCTTTTGTGACCTTCTGACAAACAAAGTCAATGGGGAAGCCACATTCACTTAACCACCAAGCTACTAACTTATCAACTGCAGTGATGCACTTAACACCTGAGGTAAAAATGGTTGTAAAATGGGGCATAACTCACTTAACAAATGTCTCACTTAACAGAAATGTTGGGTCAATTGTGGTCCTAAGCCGAGGACTACCTGTATATAGCTATCTATTTTTCTTTAAATTATTCATTTAATCCCCTCTCTATTCTGTTAAACAACATACCTTGACAGATTTAATATTTTGATCATCTTAAATCATCCATCAATTTCATCTTTTAAAATAGTTTTTAAACTGATTTGTGTAAACCTAGCAATTCTGAAATACAGATTTTCCTAGTCACTTTTTTCTACCTCCTTCCTTCCTATATACTTGTGTAGCCAAACAAATGCCATTCATGCAAATGAGGAAATATCAACAGGCTAGAAGGAAACACAAAGTATGCAAAATGACATTTTTTTTAAAAAAGAAAAAAGAAAATTGGGAAGGAGAGAAAAAATCATCTGTTCCCTTCAATTAGCAATTGATAACTCTTTGCTTAGTGGCAAGAATGTTGACTGGCTGTTCAAAAAAGGAACAACTTTGAAAAGGATAGAAAGATTCAGAAAGGAAAGAAAGATTATTATCCTGAGGCACCCTCTCAAGAATTCATAGCAAATTCTGTATTGGTGAGCTTCCCTGTCCCAGATTCAGCAAAGCAGCCCCAAACTGAAACATTTCCACTACCATCCTTTGGTATCAGGTTTTCTGGTGAAATGTTCTCTTTTGTTTTTGTTATGGCCTGCCAGTGGCCAGCAGAGCTGGCAGCAGATTCGGACAGTGAGGAGGTTGGGGAGCAACATGGGCCAGTCCTGGAAGTCTGGGAAAGGCTCTGATGAGTGCTCTGTGTCAGAGGCAGAGATGGGGCCAGGGCCATCTGATAATTGTCAGCTGTCTTCGGAGCCGGACATCAGTGAGGCAGAAGAACAGCTGGACCCTGTTCCCAGTGTGCGCATGCGCAGAGCTGCCAGAAGAAGGGAACAACTAAGGAACATGGGTTGACTTGGGAGTAAAGCCACAGGTGGACAGTGAATGGCCCCTCCCATAGCGAATAAAAGAGGAGCAAAGGGGGAGTGGGGTTTTGGAGGAGACAATTAGTTCATTTGGGTGAAGATCTGTTCCTGTATTCTTGCCAAGTATTGTTTGCTACAGTGTGGCATCTGAAAGATATCGGCCTGGCAACTCTCCAAGCCCGATAAAGGTCTGTAATTGTGAAATATCTGGAAAGACCGTTGGCCGGGACTTGTTCCACAAGTCCTGATCTCTGCCTTAGATGTTCATGACCAAACTTTAGTCTGGTCCTGAAGTTCTTTCCTCCAGGCAGACCTCCCATCTAATTTTTGCAGGTTCTTTCTAATGGTAGACATATACACTTTTGACATCATTAGTGATAAGAATTATCATAGCTCATATGATAAAATTTGAGGGTTCTCAGAGATTTATTCCAGCAATTTGCATTCTGCTCTTGGACTGAATTTGTTGGGATAGCCTGGCCTGGGCTAGTTGGCAATTATTTGTATTTTCCATTTGTAGATAATCTTCCAGGTAGTGGAATGATTGGCCCTCTCTTTAAATCCTCCCCAGACTTATAAAGAGTCTACAATATTTTTTCTGAGCTTCAAAAACTCTTTCAATCTCATAGTGATAAGACACACTTTAGCAGCGAAGACCATCTCAAACTAAGCATTCAGTTTAAATAAAACTGGTTCCTTCAAGATCCTTTCTAATGATGCTCTACTCACTGCCACCTAATCTGGTGCACCTGATTCTAATTTAGGTATTTGAGGCAGCCATAAATATACTTACTTTTTCCATGCGCGCTATTTACATTTAAGTTACACAATGAACTACAAAATTTAAATGGTATGTATTCATTACATTCAATTATTTTTATCAATATTGTTGAAATGAACATGGAATAACTGTTGAAATAATAATAAATTTCAATAGGACCTAACTTACTTTTTCACATGGCTGAATGTCATATAAAATATATATCAGCTTCTCCAATCATTCCACAATGTAAGATTGGACAGGATGTGTTTCTGGCAATTTTCTAAACATTTGCCTTACACAATAATTTTCACTATATATTTAAATGACTCCTGTAATTTGTTAGATTTATATCCCACTTAAATAACTCAAGATGGTGAACTTTCCTTCTCCTATTTTTCCCAAAGCAACAACTCTTTAAGGTGTGATGGGCTGAGAAAGAGTGACTGGCCCAAAGTCACTCATCCGGCTTTCATGCCTAAGGCAGAACTAGAACTCCTGGTTTCTGGGCCAGCGTCTTTCACCATTAGTATGGAAGGATTTTGTTGGTTTGTGGGCTATAATGATGCCAAAGAGTTGGGTTAGGCTGTTGGTGGTTTCTGAGATGCTTTTGATGTATGAAAGAATTATCCTTTTCATGACTTGCAACCCTTGAACTGTGAGTATTTAATTGAATAGGCCCTTTTTAATGAAGTTGCATGGATATCCATTGATTTGAAAAATATGTAATTAATCTATTTTTGTCTTCTGTAGTACTGAATTATTACACTGCAGTTTTTTTCTAACCCTTTTTTTTTTTTTTTGCTTAAGATGAAAATGTAATTTACATAATGAATCCATAGTTGGGGTTGGGAGGATTTTCATACACCATTATTCTTATACTTCATTTGTCCTGTTTGATTAGATTATTTAAGGTTTTTTTTCATTTTGCTATCCAATTTGGGTATTGGATTTGGACTTATGAGACTGTACGTCTCCCTGAGTTTCAAGCATTATTTTGCTATTAGAATATATTACATTATGAGAGTTATTGACTCAAAATAACTCATCCTTTATTCATGCTAAAAGGAGGATCAAAATATAGTCTCTCAGCTTCTGCTACAGCATTTTAACTCCTATACCAAACTATTTCTCCAATTTCAGTTGCTTAATACTCCCTATAATTTAGTCCTTTCTGGAGCATGCTGTGTTCTAGACATGGAACAGCTCAACATTCTGGTTTAGTTTCATCTTTTTCTCTTGGGATTAGCTGCAATTTGGGTCTCAGTTTTTCTTTTTATCCACTTGTTTTTCCAAAGTAGTTTTGATAATAGTCCTTTGATGGGTTCTGGTTTTATAGTTTGCCCCAATTTATGTTTTGTTGTTGTTGTTGTTGTTGACTAGCTGGTATTAAGTCTAAGGTGTGCATTCACTATTATCAGATGTATCATTTTCTGACTGCTGTCTTCTGCTATTTTCCATTTGGTTGCACCACAACCAAATGGACTCACAACTTCTGAACCCAGCCCGCTCTTTTAAGCAAAGAAATAGCACATTGTATCAACTCACACAATTGTACATTATTCATCAAACCTTGATTCAGCCACCCATGTCCAACCTATGCTGTACATATGTAAACAAGAGATTTAGTTGTGCTAAAGGACCACATCATACAATGTTATTCTTTGCTTAGTGTGATAAGTGAACCAAGACATTTAATTAACTTGCTGTGACTAGCTTCATTGTTAAAATGTTCAAAACCTAAAAATATGAACAGGAAGAAAGATTCCTGTAACCAGTGTATAAAATCAATACTGATAATTTATTTAAAAGGCACACATAGCTTACTATTCATTGTAGGAATAGAGCTGTGTTAGTATGGTAACAAAGAACAGAAATTTGTAGGAATCATTTCAGATTGCACCAGTAGAGCTAAACCAATTTCATTGTATACATGATGTACAATGACAATAAAGGCAACAACAATAAACACATTTTATTAAAAGACATGAGCTTTCTTGATCTACAGTTCATTTTATGAAAGCTTATGCCATGTAATAAAATTTGTTACTTGAAAAAGGGCTACCAGATTCCTGACATTACGTTTCCATTAATAATAGTAACTTAGTTTGACTTCAATTGCTGCTTACTTTGCAATGGCATCACAAAAGGCTGCTTGTTCTTGATTTTGCCATTCAACATTTTTTAGAAGCTTGTTTTCTCCTGGCAGGCTACTGGTCCCATTGTCTGTCTGAAATGTAAGGATAAAAAAGTGAAATGAGAATAATAAAATATATAATTATACTGTATATAATAATATACAGGAACAGTTTAGAAAGCTGTTCTATATTGACCCATTTACTAATGGAAGTAATTTTCTAACAGAAATGAACAGTCTATGCTCTATTAATGCAGAAGGTCACACATCCTAATGACCAATGCTGCTTTCAACTAGCAACTTTCAGCTGGTACAGAAATACTGGTGATGAAACAAGTGAAAGAAAGCTCTCCAATTTTACTACATCCACCAAAGAAAAAAACGTAACGGTAGTTTTTGCTATTGTAATAAACATGTGTCGAGTCTAAATTTAGCTGAGTTATTGATATTTGATGGAAACAAGATATTTCATTACTAACTCGTTTACTTTATAAATGTCTAACATTAGGTAAAGTGAAGTTTTGGATGCTGCAGCTACATGTTAAGATATATACATGTATCTTAAAATGATGAGTTTTAATGCCAACTGTAAGGCTTCCTCCAACTGTAAGACTTATTTCCAACAAAGGTGGCTTACCAAAGAGAATACAGAAGTATTCTAAATTTTTCTTACTGGATTTTGGTTTAAAAAAAAGGGAAGTCAATGGAAAGGCTTAGGTAGTTTAACAGCCTAAAGTAGTAATTTCTGAAACCATAACACACTGAATTTGGCAAAGTGGTTGTACAACAGATGTTTTGTCTAAAAGCGTCTCTAGATGAGCTAATTAGGAAGGGATTCCCTGTAATTTTAGGTTATGGTGGAACTCAGATGTGCTTGATATGCTTTGTAATTTCTTTAAATTTTCCCAGACACTCTGATTCAAAGATTCCATTCCACAATATTCAAGAAAAAGAGCCAAGCTACAATGTGGCAAAAACTGAAGTGCCATAAGTGTCTCTGCTTTTTTTGACATTTCTCTCCAGTTAAGGAAAAACAGTGCTTAATTATATTAAAGCAAATTCTCCTAGAAAACTTCTATTTAAAAGTAATAAATGTATCAATATCTAGCATAAACCTTATTAAAGCATGCCTGTGGGCTCCACTAGATTTTGCCCACCTGCCTTAGAAAACTATTGTTTTAGATTGAAGAGTACCCTGGTGCACTGGGATCAAGACTTAAACCAATTTATTTTTGGTACATGGGTAATTTTTTATTACTTATGAGCACTATAGCAAAAATTTGGAGAATAGAAAGTTGTATGTGTGCATACGTACACGCACGCAAATGTATACACACATACAAGCTTTCTTAGTTCCAACTACATTTGCTTAAATATATCCAATGTAGCATAAAATATTATTAGGTTACTATGAGGCTCTCGTGGTACTAAATTTTGAAATGCCTAGAAAGTGAGGATATTTCAAAATCCAATAAATCATTTTGTTCCTGTTATGGAAACATGTGAGCAAATATTTATAGAGCTGTTCATAGTCAAGTGGGTTCATAAAAGACAATTTGAATACTTTGAGAAGAGGACTTGCAACATTCCTGCCACCTGTGCCATTTTGTGTCAGCCATTATTACAGCCACTCATTTGCTTCTGATTTAAGGGACATGTCACATGATTATGTCGCATCAGGAAATGTCTAATTTAATATTGCCAAAGAAACAGCATATAATTAAACAACATTTTCTGAATAGCAAACAATGGAGCTGGGCTAGTCCTTCTTTTGGCAAGCTGTATAGCATTTGAAACAGCTAGTACCAAAATCAGGCTAGAAAAGATAATTAAAATAGTATTATTTATGTGAAAAGTATTAAGTAGTCCCATTTAAGAACATGTTCTGTCCTTAGGTCGAATTTGTATGCAAACCGGAACCCTATTATTGTATATCACTATATAATAAATTAAAACCATTCTGTATTTGACTTCAACTACTGTGTCTTTGACTCAAATTTTGTTGCAACATGTTCCATTCTTAATTAAGGCTCACCCTTAAACCAGAGCATTATTAACCTGGGGACTTGCTGTATTTTCAAAACCATATAAAAATTATTGCGATACACAGATTTTTAGTTATCAAAAGTTTCTTGCAAGAATTAGCCATTTCAAGATCCCATTTGGAATACATAGAGGATAAATAAACACACACACATGTTGAATGTTATTGGTTGTTAATCTTGAGGAGTATTAACAAATAGGATGCTGCTCTACACCTATTTGTACAATCACAAGGGAACAACTTTTTGTCTAAATTTGGTAAGAAAAGTTTGCAAAGTAACATTTGCATTTAAATGGAATATATATTTTAAAGATGTTTACCTGTGAAGTTTGGCCCTGTAATTTAGCAAGCTGAGTAGTTCGAATGTTTAAAGACTGACTTCTTGTAACTGTTGCCTCAGAAGCAGATTTTCCACTAAGCTTTCTTTCAAGATGGCTCTTTCCTGGAGATTTCTCTTCCAGTAGCACAGCGTCCCAAGGATCTTCTACAATTTTAGCATTCATTATCCTTCCTCCATCTTCTGAATTATAAAATATATCTAGATTGTCCACCTTTGGTTTACTTAAAGGATCTAAATCCAACCAATCAAATTTACTAATATCACTGGAGCTTTCGGAGGTTGGCAAACTAAGAGTAGGTTTAGCACCAGTCATCTCTAAGTCTGTCTTTGATTTCCCATTTTTTTGAAATTCTGAAGTACTTGCAATCTTATCAAATACTTTTGCCATTTCAGGAGAAAGTGCTGAATGATACATAGGTACACTTCCTTGTGGATGGAAACTTGAAGTAAATGGCAGTGGGTATGAAATGTATTGAGACCTTTCTGGAAGACAAAGATAGACAGGCTTTGTAGATTGGCAAGTGGATACACCTGGATGAAAGCCATTCTGAAAGATACCAACTTGTTTGGTGAAAGAAGGTACAGAGTAAACAGAAGATCGGGCACTACTGGAAGACCCAGGCAAACTAGATGTCCACTGCCCGCTTTGAGAAACAGGGTGAGAATAAAATTGTGAAGATGATGCCCCAAGAATCTGAGTGGCTGACAATGTAGATGGTTTGTGGGATTCAAGATTTTCTTCTAAAAGAAGTTTCTCTAATTCAGCACATGTAAGTTTGTCTATGTCAATTGAATTTAACTTATCATCCACCTTCCTCTTGACATCAGACTCTGGAAACACCATAAGATCATGATCTTGTTTCCTGCAGGACTGTACACTTGGCCAAGAGTAGCTTAAGGTATCACTCTTTTGTCTACTGTCAACCACTACTCTTTCTTTTTGCATCTTAGCCAGAGCTTCAGCTTCCATTTGCAGTGCTTCTTCTTTGTCCACGTCTTTGGGTCTTGCTGGATCCAAAACTGGTGATGAACGTTGTTTAAATTCATTGCTGCTAGATATCTGGGCCATTCTGTGAAAGCAGATGTCCGTTAACGATTTCAATTCTTCTTCTGAAACTCTTTGGCCCAAAAACGTTCAACAGATTCAATAAAACTAATGGAGGGGAAAAAACATATAATACTGAAAGTGTTTACAAAGTCACTTTTCTCCAGTTCTACTTTAAAGTTCTGTCTATTAGGGCTATAAAGGTATTTGGATCAGAAGCTGGAAAGGTGCTTTTGATTCACTATGGACATGCTTGCAGGCAGCAGCTTCCTAAAAATGCCACAACTTTTCCCAGGCTTACATGATAGCCTTGAAAAATACCTGAAGCACTGACAGGATGCAACTACACTATCCTATCTTTAACTCTTTATTTCAAAGAAGTGTTTTTCTGAGATCTTATGGCTAGTGTATAAGATCAGAAAAAGTTACTGCTTGTCTAAGGAGCCACTGACAGCTACAACAAATATACTCACACCCAGATGTGAAGCACTTTTCCTGCTTTGGATCTATATTATTATACATTCCTACCCAATATATAAAGGCATTAAGAATTTGTACATTTGGAAATATTGCGATTAACAACTATCCTTGACTTAGTTTCTCTTATCAGATGATTATTCATCTATATTATTCTGAAGTATGACACTCTAAGGCAGAGGTGTCAAACTCACATCGTCACAGTGGCATCACATGACATATCAGGACTTTTCCCCCCTTCGCTAAACCGAGTGTGGCCAGCACGTGATGCATCCAGATCACGGGCTGGGAGTTTGACAGCCCTGTTCTAAGGTATAAATGTAAAAAAAAAAAAAAATTATGCTATTCAGTGTTTCATCTTTGTGTCACTGAGATATACAGCCCTAAGAACTGCTGATGCATCGTTTCCCCTTAAAAGTAGCCTTTCTATTTATCAATCTCTTCCCCTCTAGACTAATAGAAGAGGACCCAGAGTTGACAGTGCCTTAGTTTCTCAGAGAGATTAAAAGATTATCACCAAGCTCCAGCTACTTGCACTTATAGATTATATGAAAGTGCCTTCTGTTCATCCACTCACAGCTTACCTGTCAGGGGTGATTCTGCTTAAGGCCTTTAGGCAAGTAGGCTGGGTTAAGGTCATCACAGGCTTCTAGCTTTCTTCCATTATTCCCACCAAAGCTGGGCAAACTGAAGGACTGGGTAGTACTAGGATTAAGCAAAAGAATATGGTTGATGGAAAAATGGGAAAACGTATAATATGGCACAACTAATATTGCATATTGTATGCCAAAGTCATCAATTAGACATAATTCATAATTCTTCTTTAGATGAGCCATTAGTGTTAAAGAACTCTATGTGCTTTCGAGTGGCCTTATTGTATCAGCGCTGAATTCCAGTTTGTTTCTTATTTATTTAATCAAATAAATCAAGTACCCAACTCAACCGACTCTGGTCAGTTTACAACAAAATCAGCCAATACAAAACCCCAGTAAGTTCCAATGAAGGACAGAAACCAAAAAGAAAACTGATAACACAAAGCTATAAAACAAAAAACAATCCCCCCTTGCCAACTCTTTAACCTAAACCCTGAGGAAAGAGTCCTATTTTCAAGACTCACTTAAAAAACACTAGGTGATGCAAACTTCTGGAAGGATACCATTCAATAGGGCAGGTGCCACAACAAAGAAGGCATGATTCCTTGGTCCCAACAGATGACATTTTTTCAAGGAGGAGTCTCAAAACATGCTCATCATGCTGGTCTTTACAAGAGTGGGCAGAGACAACGAGAGAAGGGCAGTCTCTCAGGTAACTGAGAGATCATGAATGGCTTCATAGATCACCGTCAACATCATAAATTGCACTCAAAATCTCACTAGTAGCCATCCTACTGGGCTAGAATTTGCAAAAAAAAATCTACTAATTGGCTGCAAAACCAGCAGATATAGCTATAAAAAGGCAAATTAAAATTTAAGATCTGCAAGTATAGTTTCCAAATAATGAAGGAATATTTCCATTTTAATCTACTCAGATCAGACCATACCTTGACTACTATTCTCCAGAATACACTAAAGATTTTTTAGAAAATGATAGAGATTCAAAAACATGCAATGAAGATTAGGGGGGGGGGGGGAAAAAAATGAAAAAAGATCAAAGGAGGAGAAGACAGAAGGGGGAATATGACACTATTCTTTATGTACACAAAATGATTTCCTCAGGTCAAGAAACATCTTGTGTGTGTAAGACAGGAGTTAATACTGTAGATTTAAGTTACAGAAAGATGGAAGCCAATTAAATTTTAGAGAGAAAAAACCCAATTATTCATAGAGGTGGCATGGTCTTCTTCAGTAAGGAGTAATTACATACTGGGCAACCCATGGCATTGTTATTTCATTGTTTTAAAGATATTTCTATACCTAGAAAGAAAAACAATGGCTACAGAAGGACAAAAAAAAATCAATGGGAACAACTTCTGATCTCCTGTGAGTGGCTGGGAAGGGAACAGAGAATGATGTTCAAATGATTGTACCAGCATGGTGGCAGCACTGAAGGAGCCACAACTTCCCTAAGATTCTGGCATTCGTTAAGTTAACCCATTTGATGTGCCTTGACTGAAAAGGTTTTGCCCTTTGAAACACCATTTGGCTCAGTTAAAGGTTACAGGTATGTTTTATTAGTATATAGCTATAATGCAAACAACAAACAAACTTTGAAAAAATAACTCAGCAACTATGATTATGATGTAAGCAGTTAGTTCAGAAGCATATTATCAAACTAGTAAGGCTGATAGTATTTTTTTTTTATTTGCTGTACTATATCACCTGCCTCAGGAAAAACAGATAAAGAAATCTGGCTTAAGAACAGCTGTTCACTTGTATAATTCTGGCAGTTAAAACAAGTAAATAATATAATATGTACTGCTTACTTTTATATCGCCACAGAATTAGTACTTGATGAGAAACCACTTCAGTATCTTTATGTAAAAGCAAATTATTGAAATCATGCATCACACTGTCCTGATCATTAATACAACTTAATGTTGGCCTAACAAGCAGGTGATTTGTCTCTTCCAATCCAAGGTCTCCTACCTTTCCTAATGAGAAAAGGGGGTTTTCAGTCTTTGAAGCATTGTGTCAGAAAGTTCTACTAGCAGTAGTAGAGTTTTCAGCACAGAAACAGCTCTAAAACTTAATGCTTTGGGAATCCTGCAAGATATAAAATAAATTGCCTGAAGTTTTATGGTAGAGCTAACAAGGAGAAACAGAATATTGCTTTTCAATTTGAAAAAAACCCGGACAAGAAGTTAATAAGATGCACTAGAATATCAAATTCAAATAGGAAGGAACTACATTCGAGTATCCATTCAGTTATGGAGCTTGCTACACAATTGTGCCAACAAGTCACAGAACTGTGTTTAGCACAAAGCATTCTTTGTATGATAAAATATGTAATACATACAACTGCACGTGCACACACCAGCAAAGCTTGTTATAAGTAGTAGTAGTACTGGAATAACTTCACCAGGTGGCAGCATCTAGCTGCCCTTGTCTAGCTCAAAATATCTAAGCAAGGATCAGCCTGGTTAAAGATCAGGCCTGGCTACTTGGATAAGAGACTACCAAGGAATATCAAGACTGCAGGCTACACTAAGAAGCTGAAAAATAACCCAAATGAAAGTTATCCAACAATAAGAAAATAATATAAATGCATGGATATGTCCATGAAGTTACTAGATGCACATCCATGAACACTACCTACTAGTCAGAAAACTTTTTACTCTAATAACACAGGGAATGACAACCATAGTTTCAAGTGGAAACTGGTTTTTTTGGTAAATTTTATTTGAGTATTCACAAAAAGAAAAAAAATACAAATAAAACATCTTTTTTGAAAGTACCGTAATCCCAGGTTACATTTCTTCGTGCAGACACAAATTCAAGTTCATGCTCATTTTTATATTCTATTCCATATCTTATTACTATTTTATATTTTCTGCATAGCTTCTCCCCTCTTTTAATTTTCTCAATTTTATTTTAATTATCTCATCTCAATTCAAATCATTATATTTGTATTTTTTTTGTCCTGTTTCAATTATCTATTATCTTTTCTCATTAAACAAAATTTCTCCTGTAGTTACTGATTGGAGTATGATGCCTTTATATCTTTTAAGTTTATCCATTTAACTCTTATTTAGGCTTCAATATATACCCTAAAGTTATAACATTCAATATAATACATAACTTCCATTCGGATTCTGCTTGGTACATTCTTAAAATACACACTATATTCTTAAAAAAAGAAAAAATTATAAATGTATGTAATTAAAACAACACATTCCATTCCAATTCAATTCTATCATTAATATTAATATTCATTAAAGTCTTAACTTTAACATTACTTTTCAATTAAATATCATACTTCTATGGGAACAATTATAAGCTTTCCATAATTAATTCCCTCCCCATCTTCACTTATATTTTATAAAACATTAACTAATTAAAATGTTCCCGTTCCTTCCTAATTCAATTTTCTCATTTATTTTATTTCACTTATTTTATTAACAAACATTTCACTAAATTACACTATTTTATCCCTCATTTTAATCATACATTGTTTCCAATTTTCTAAAGTTATTTCTATTACTAATATAACAATACAATCTTATGTACCTTTACAGAATCCCTTTTTCAGTTAGATTTTCACCCATTATCTCTAAATAGGTCCTGTTTCTCTATATCTTGCTCCGGTCCTTTATAACTTCTTTTCCTTTCCTTCTTCCCTCTCTTCTTCTCTCTCCCCTTTTTACCCCCTTGTCTCTCTACCTCTATTTCTCTCTTCTGTATTCCCCTTTTCTGTTGGTTTCCAGTATTATACTTATTTTTTGAATTATTTTTCTTTTCTTTGGTTGTTTTTTTAAATCTTAAATTCTCCATTCTCTTTCCCCCCTTTCCTTTTTCTTCCCCACATGAAATTACTTGTTCATTAAAGATGGCTTCTTCTTTATCCCAGTCTTCTTGTTTTGCAGACGTTTCTTGTTGTTTCTCATAGTTCCAAATCTCCATTTCTAAGAATTGAAAAACGAAGCCAAAAGAACCCTTCCCTTCTTGTGCATCTTCTCTGTACTTTTAAAGTTCCATTTTCAATTCATCCAGAAGTGGTGCCATTGTATAAATTTTTAAACAACCACCCGATTAATTTTAGTCATTCAAATGTAATAACCAAGAATCCAAAGATCACCAAATAATCCAAATACACGCAAGCTGTTTGTTTTTGCTCTTTTTTTTTTCACTTTCTCTTCTTGGGGTTACTGTTTAGTTACAAAGTTTCAGTTAAAATGTATCTTTTAGAAGTCTTGTTGAAGTTTTACTGTAGATTATTTTTAGTTCCAGGCAGTCTCCTCCCTCTTCCAGATCCTGCCCTTATTTTTTTCTCTCCCTTCCTGCTTATGAAAAAAAAATTTTTTAGAGTCCAGAAATCTTTATTATCCCTTTGGCATTTTATTTTATTTTCAGCTTAATTGCCTATTGATGTCAAAGCGGATTTTTCCGATTTCTTATTTAAGTCTCTTTGTTGTCAGTATAGGGAAGGAGAGAGAAGAAGAAAAAGCCAAACCTTTCCCTTTTCACTTTCCTTCGCTGCTTCCGACTCTTCTTTGGGAGCGATGTTATTTTTTTGTAAGTTTAAATTCCAGGGTACCTTAGTTGTTGCTTTCACAATTTAACCCGGTCAGTCAAAACTTTCACTTCTTATCTTCCTCCTGCACATTCTTTTCCGGTCGAGTTCTTCTTTGTGGTGGCCATTTCTGACCACCGCTGCAACCGCCTTCGGGAAAGGGAGTAATGGCCAGCTGAGGAGGAGAGATGCGGCTCTCCTCAACCCTGCTGGCGGTCTCCCCCCTCTTCACCACCTCTACGGGGTGGCTTAGCCCCGAAACCAGCCGGCTCGGGGTGCTCCAGCGGCGAGCCCAGACCGAAACCACGCACGATCGCAGATTTCTATCTGTCGCCGAAGAGACTTCAAACCGGAAGCCAAAAACCCCAGAAATTTTGTATTCAGACAAATCAGCCATCAATAAACAAATAAACCACATTTATGCACTATTCAAAAGAATCAATAAAAAGGCTAAGAATGGAACAAGAACATATCCTCTCCAATACCCAGATAAGGCACCAATACCCAGATAAGCAGGGTTTAACACCAGATAAACA